CTGTTGGGAATCAAACCCAGGTTTCTTGCTTGTGAGGCGAGTGCTCTAACCACTGAGCTACAGGACTATATAACAAGATTACATTTGCACAGCGCCTTTCACGTTGGGAGGACATCCCAAGGCGCTGGACAGTGTACAGCATTTCAGACCAGAGCTGGGGTCAGGGAGGGAGAAGGGAGGGGAGTGGGGGGGTAACCAATAGCATGGTCGAAAAGGAGGGCTTTGAGGCAGGACTTGAAGGAGGTATATGTTGCCCCATTCCAGACTTGAAGGAGGTTAAGGAGGGGGCGAGGCGGAGTGATTGGGGGATGGAATTCCAGGGGTTGGTGGCAGAGTGGCTGAAGGCTCTCCTGCCAATAGTGGGGCGGGTGGGTCAGGGGACGTGGTACAAACTGGAGCCGGCTGAGCAAAGGGAGTGGGCGGGTGAGTAGGGGGCTAGGAGGTCGCAGAGGTAAGGTGAGGCGATGCAGGACTTGAGGTGAACTGGATTCTTTGAAAGATAGGGAGCCAATGGAATGGGCGAGAATGGGCGAGATGGGGTCATGGAGTTTGGTGTGGGAGAGGACATGGGCTGCAGAGATCTGGATTATCTGCAGACTGTGGAGGGAGGGCCAACAAGCAGGGCATATCGTGCCTGGTGGGTGATGACGGCATGAACAAGAGTTTCAGTGGCCTGAGGGGTGAGGTAATGGCAGAGTCAGGCAATGTTACAGAGGTGAGGGAAGGCAGAGCAAGTCATGGCTTGAAGAAAAGACAGTTGGGGATCGAACAAGACTGGTTCCTGACTGGCTTGGTCAGTTGTAGTGTGCAACCAAGTAAATGCAAGTTGTTGTTAGGTGATTATATGATTTATAAAGTTAAGACATATGCAAATTTTAACTGTATCTAGCTCCAAGGGAAAAGGGCTCAGTGACAAGTTATCAGGAGCGGTGAGTTAGGCATAGGTATAAATACATAAATAAATGTGGCCAGGATATTGATAGCCTGATGACACAAGTGGTATAGCAAGTTAACACAGGATCAAATTATCAGGAGTTTACTGTGTATGTATAGATACACACACACATATCTCAGATGCCAAGTCAGTACTGTTGAGCACTTTGAACATCCTCCAGCACAAAAGGCGTTATATGAATGTAAATTAGTATTCTACAGCTCTCTTAATGTGCCTTCAATCACCCTCCTAACCCTACCCTCCCTGCCCCCCACCCTTCCTGCCCCCAACCCCCAGCTCAAATCCAAATCTCTGACTGTCCACCGCCTTGAGACGTCCTCCTGACATGAAGAGCGCTGTGTAAATGTCATGTGTAGCCGTTGTTGGGAGAAATATTGGCAAGTATGTAAATCCAATGTAAATAGGACACAGGTTAGAATACATTTTACATATTTCTGTAGAGGGAGTTGAAAGCGGCAGAGCAGAACGCAGGGAACACCAGGAGAGCATCTTAGAGCATTAAGTAACCAATTCTAAATTATAGATCAACTTAAACTACCTTTGTTTCCAACTCTTTTGTGACCCTCTCTTATCTCTTGACTTTTTCCTCAGACACCCACTCTTTAATTCTCCCTCAGTCTCTAACCCTGTACTGCGCATGTAATAAATTTACTTATCTTGCACAAACACAGGTAAGTTGGGAGTGCAGATAAGCAGCATATTAATTAGAAAACAGACTGGCAACAGAGAATTTGCCCATACTGTAAAATAAACAAACCTTGCATTTGACATCGCACTTTTCAAGTCAGGAGGAAGTATCAAAGAGCTTCACAGGTGTCAACTTTAAGCATAGCGTCTGTGTGTTTTGCAGGCAAACATGGCAACCAATGTCACACAAAAGCCATAAACAACAAGCATTTATACACCACCCTTCACACAAGGTAATGTCCCAGAGCGCTTGTAGAGATTAATGAAGAGATTAACCAATTTTATCTGGGGGAATTGTTGGCCAGGACACCAGGAGAAATACCCTTCTCTTTTCAAATAGTATTATAGAATCTTTAGTGTCTCCCTGAACAGACAGACACTCTCAGTTCAATGTCTCGTCCGAAAGACACCATTTCCAACTCGGCAGTTCTTCCCCCAGCACTGCACTGGAGCAGCAGCCTAGACTGAGGCTTGAATCCACAATCTTCTGACTCAGAGGTGACTAGTGCTACACCTGGCATCACAGCACAATCTGTGCCGCAAACTGGAACACTCACAGATTAGTCATCACCTGAAAGAGCACAATAAATTACATTGGCGCAGCACCTTTCACATCGGGATGGCGTCCCAAAGCTTAGACAGTCATGGAAGTGCGCCCGAGGTAGGGGTTGGGATCAGGATGGGGGAAGGGCATAGAGGGTGCGGGTAAGAGGGTCACCGAAAGCTCAGTCGAAGAGGAAGGTCTTGAGGCGGGCCTTGAAGGACACAAGCGAGGGGGTAAGAGCTTAGCATTTCAGTTCAAACCCAATCTCCAAAATGCTGTGCCTGGCTGACAAACCTGCCACCATTTTCTAGCAAATTAATCTTTTTGTTATCTTGTTACATTGTGTATTCAAACATTGCGTGGATTCAAAAAAAATGGGGTCCTGTAGCTCAGTGGTTAGAGCACTCGCCTCACGAGCGAAACTTGGGTTTGATTCCCAGGTCAGGGCGGAACGTTGGGGACGTTTCCTTACTCCACACCTCTGTTTAGGCACAACACAAAATTAGATTCGTAAAGCGCCTTTCACATTGGAAGGCCTTTCATGTTTCCCGAGGCACTGAACACTCGGGGTTTAGGACCGGGGGTGGGGGGGGGGGTGAGAGAGGGTGGCCAAAGGCATGGTTGAAGAGGAGGGAGGCAAGGGAGGGAGCAAGGTGAAGGTGAAGGGAATGTGGGATGGAGTTCCTGAGGATGGGGGCAGAGACGCTGAAGGGCCGACCACCGATAGTGGAGCGGTCGGAGCCCGCTAAGCGGTGGGAGTGGATAGGATGATAAAGGGCTAGTGGGTCGGAGAGGTAGGAGGGGGTGAGGCCAGGGAGGGCCTCGAAGGCGAGGTCAAGAATTTTGAACTCGATCCTGTGAGGGATGGAGAGCCAGTGGAGCCAGACGAGGGGGCGTGATGGGGTCACGGAGCTTGGTGCCGCAGAGGACACATGCTGCAGCGTTCTGGATGGTCTGCAGCTTGTGGAAGGAAGACCAACCAGCAGGTCATTAGCATAGTCAACCCTGGTTATAATGAAGGCATGTAATAATAATAATCCTTGCATTTGATATAGCGCTTTTCACGTCGGGAGGACGTCCCAAAGCGCTTCACAGAACACACTGTAAAGTGAATTGACTGTATATTTGTGGGCGAACGCGGCAGCCAATTGCGCACAGCAATGTCCCACAAACAGTCGTAGATTGAAAATGACCAATTTATTATTGTTTTGGTTTTTGGAGGGATTATTATTAGGCTCTGTGTGGAGTAAGGAAACTTGCCCGAGGTTTGGCCCTCTGCCTGGAATTGAACTCAGGTCTCTCACTTGCAAAGCGAGTGCTCTAACCACTGAGCTACAGGACTCCACATGTATGAGGGTTTCGGCGGTCCAAGGGGTGAGATAGTGGCAGAGTCTGGCAATGTTGTCCGGTGGGGGAAGGCAGAGTGGGTCATGGCATGGATGTGGGGGAGAGAAGACAGTTGAGTCAAACAAGACATCGAGGCTCTTGACTGGCTTGGTGAGGTGGAGTGTGCATCCGTGAATGTTGATGCTGCCAGTGCCTAAGGTGCGGAGGCCCTGGCGCGAGCCGACCAGGAGAGCCTAGGTCCTGTTGACGTTCAACTGTAGAAAGTTGGCTTTCACCCAGTAGGATGAGAGTAGGAACTCACTTGTTAGTCAATTGGCATATCGCTTTTCTGGGGGTAATAATTACTTCAAAAAAAAATTGGTCACTCAATCTACGACTGTTGGTGGACCACAAAATACACAGTTAATTCATTTTACAATATAATCTGTGAGGCGCTTTCAAATGTCTAGAAGACTCGATCAGACGCTACATCAAATGCAAGGATTGTTCGTTGTGGTTATTGCACATCAAGGAACAACTAGAAAAGCCAGCCATCAGGAAGCATCGTTACACACAGTAGATGTGGGACGACCAAACACAGCAGGCTAACTGGTGGCTCGATGCCAGTGTCAGCCCCACTCTCACCTCCGAGGAAGGAGGTAGTGCCTTCAAGACCTACGTTGAGAGACACTGAGCTCCCAGTCCAGCCTGACGTTCCAGTGCAGTGCTGGGGGGGGGGGGGCGGGAAGAGAGCAGTGCGCTGTCATCATCCTCACTCCCCATCTGTTCCCAATTCGCAGCTCTGTCGGGTGGAAAGAGTCGGGAGTCTCTCTCTCTCTCTCTCTCTCTCGCCCCCCGGTTTTCCCGGCCAACAATCCCCCAGATGAGAATCAGTCGCTCGCTCGACGGCTAATTTGGTCACTCAATCCACCGCTGGTGCGCAACTGGCTGCCGTGTTCCACCCACAAAGCACACAGTCACTCGACTTATGAGCTATACGGTATATTCTGTGATGTGCGTGGAGACGGCTCTCGACGACGCGATAAGACACTAAATCAAATGCAACCAATATTATCAGGAGGACTGACTGAAAGTAGATATTATTATTAGATACCGCTCACCTAACCCCCCCCCCACCTTTGATTGTCTGAAGTGAAACCCTTGGGGTGGGTTGGGGGGTTGCCCCAGGGCTGGAGGAGGAGGGAAAAATATATTAGCCCCTGTGGCTTGTCTGGATCACTCAATCTCTGCCGACAATAATGAAACCGAGCGATCCCTTTAATGATGGACAGGCGGGCGGGGTCGGTGGGCGGGCGCCGGCCAATCAGGGACCGGCCCGCCTTCCGGGGGGCGGTCACGTGGTGGGGCGCCGCGAGCCCCGAGTGGCCGCCCGTCCAGTCAGTCAGTCAGTCGGGGGGGGGGCGGTCCTCGCGCTGAGCTGCACCGCGCCGCCTCCCGCCCGCCCTCTCCCGGAGCTCCGGCGTTTACCTCTCGAACAGCAGGCGCACGAGGAAGATGGCGAGCGCCACCGGGAAGGCCAGGTACAGGTCGCTGGCCTGCGGGTACTCGGCCCCCTCCGTGTTCTTCAGGTCGGCCCAGGTGACGTTGTGCGGCAGCCAGAACCTCTCGTTCCAGAACCAGGCTGAGAAGCCGGCGGCCATGGCCGTGGCTGGAGCCCCGAGCGAGCGAAGGTGGGAGGGGGGGCCCTGTCTCCCTCCTCGCCTCACGCTTCCACCCGCTCGGCGCCAGGGCCGCCGCCGCGCGCCGCTATAAAGCCCCGCTGACGTCACGCGCACGCCGGGCCCCGCCCCTCCGGGCTCGGCGTTCCTGCGCGCTGCGGCGGCGACGGCGGCGACGTGCCCCGCCCCCCCACACACGCACGCACGCACGCACACACGACGTGTCCGAACCCCTCCCCTTTTGGCGCGCAATTCAAACCCCCGTCACACGCGGAAGAGACGGGGGAGAGGTGGTGGGAGTTGATCGATGGTCCTCAGTGTTAAGGCAACGCGGTCCCTCAGTCCCCACCGCTGTTTGTGGGGACGCCGCCGTTACCCACTTGGCCGCCGCGGTTCCGCCCGCAAAGTGCACAGTCACTACGCTTTACAGCACACCGGGCGATCGTACAGAATGATAATAATCGTTGCATTTGACACGGCGCCTGTTCACGGCTTCGGGGCCGTCTCAAAGGCGCTTCGCAGAACGTATACTGTGCGGTGAATTGACCCCCACGTTTGTGGGCGAAACCCGAGGATCATAGAACATCGCCTGTAGCTCAGGGGTTGGAGCACTCGCCTCACAAGTGGGTTCGAAACATCGGGCGAGTTTCCTTTCTCCACTCACCTGATAATGATCTCACAAGAAAAAAACCCGACAATAAATTGGTCACTTCAATCCACGACCGGCTGTGGGGACGCTGCTGTGCGCAATTGACTGCCGCGTTCCACCTACAAAATATACAGTCCGTTCACCTTTCAGTATATTCTGTGAAGCGCTTTGAGGCGTCTCAGTGACATGAGAAACGCTATATCAAATGCAAAGATTATTATAATATTACAACAACAACAACAAAATTAAATTTCTATAGCGCGCTGAAGGAAGCCATTCAGACCATCGTGTCTGTGTTGGCTCTTTGGAAGAGCACGCAATCAGTCCCACTCCCACTCTTTCCCCACCCATATCCTTACAAATGTTTCCTTTTCATATCATCTGAAGCGCTTTGAGACGTTTAAAAGACTTGATAAGGCACTATATCGAATGAAAGGATTATTATTATTATTATCCTTGCATTTGTGGGGGAGGTTCCAGCGTCTTTCACATGGGGAGCACGTCCCAACGCGCTTCACAGAGATTTTACTGTGAAATGTAGTGACTGTATTTTGCGGGCGAATACGGCTGCTAATTTGCACACAGCCATGTCCCACAAACAGCCATGGAGTGAGATACCAATTTTTTTTCATTTAGGAGATTGTCGGCCAGGACACTGGGAGAGAATAGAACTGCGGGTTCTTTAACGTCCACCTGAACAGGCAGACGGAACCTCAGTTTAGTGCCTCATCCGAAGGACGGCATCTCCAACAATGCAACATCCCCTCAGAGCTGCACTGGAGCGTCAACTTAGACTTTGTGACTTCAAGTCCTGACGTAAAAGGCTTGAATCGACAACCAGAACACTTTACATATGTACAAGAGTTCTGCACCCCTACCCCAACATCAGTAGTTTATATTTATTATAGGGCCTTTCGAGGCAGGAGGAGCTGCCAAGTCTGCCTACATAGCACTCATTACATCGCAAGCAGCCCCTTGTGTGAAGCACATTGAGAGTTTTCGATACACTATATATCAAAAAGCATCACAGCCAAGGCTGGCTCTGCACTCGCACACTTTCTGCCTTCCAGTAAGGGTGTCCCTGGATCATATGTTTCAAGAAACTCAGCCCACATATCAACATCAACAACTTGCATTTACACAGTACCCTCTCACACACGGTAGCGTCCCAGAGCGCTTGACAGTGTTGGAGCCCGACGCTGAGCCGGGGGTAAGGGGGGAGGTGACCTCAGGCATGGACGAAGAGGAAGGTCTTCAGACGCGACCTGAAGATGGGGAAGAAAGGGGGCTAAGCAGAGGGATAGAGACAGAGTGTTCCAGAGTTTCGGGTCACACCGTCGACATGATCAACGTAAAATAACCAGGCAGCGGTCAGCAACACAACATGTTGGCAATGCCACCGAGTGCTGGGGTGGGAGTTCTCCTCAACAGGTGAGGTCACAGGCAGCCAAACCAGGCAGATGTTACACCTCAAATAACAACTCTGGCATTTGATTCAGTGCTAAAATCCATCCAAAGCACTTCAAAGGTAACTACTGTGAATTGTAGATAACTGCGTTAGCCAGTTGGCGCACATGGAGATCCACACACACCATGTCAGCTGTGGAGTGAATGAGCAATTAATTAATCTGGAGGATGTGCTCTTGTACATCACTTCCTCAAAAGAGAAGTCAGAATCTCCAGGAAGAGAGAGAGAGAGAGTGCATATTCCATTCCAACAATCTCCCTCTGGGATTTCCATGTGTAGGTGGGAGGCAGTTTGTTTTGGAGACTCTTAACCAACGGTGATGGGTTCCCTCATGTGTCGGACACATAATTAACCAAAAGAAATTGTCCACATTTGAACAAACCGAAAATGTGGCTTCACAAGTGAAGGGTATCAGTGCCCTCTACTGGTCGGTAAAGGAAGTGGAGTTAATAATAATAATAATCCTTGCATTTGATATAATAATATAATATACAGTGTCTTATCACGTCTTCGAGACGTGTCAAAGCGCTTCACAGAATATACTGTAAAGCAAATTGACTGTATTTTGTGGTTGAAACGCGGCAGCCAATATGCGCACAACATCGTCCCACAAACATTCGTGGATCGGGTGACCCAATTTTTTTATGAAAGGATTATTACCCCGGAACGCGATCCACCAAGCAACGAAGACCCAGGTCCCTACTTACTGCTCGTTAGGGTGTGTGTGGTGTATAGAAACTTGCCTAAGATTAGGGTTCAGCACGGCACAGGCATGGTGTAACGAGTTACTTCTTTCCCCCAGAATAGAATTGGTCATTCACTCCACGCTGCTGTTTGCGAAACTAGCCTCCGTATTCGCCCGCAAAAATACACATTCTCAAACCTTTACAACATATCCTGTGAAGCGCAGGATAGCTCCAAATAAACAGGCACTAGCACACACAGCAATGGGCCACAAAGTGTGTTTTTTGATTTTATATGTTGTATAATCAAATGTGTCATCAAAAATGAGAAGAGCATTTTTTGGGGGGACTACAGATTAATTCACCACAGGAAGAGAATCAAGCCAGGACGTGAAGAGTGCAGAATAAATATGACCATTGATCTGAAGTAGCGGAAAAAAAGATGGAAATATACAGCGAGCGGGGCAATCAGTGTCTGAAATAGGGGAAGCTTTGAACTATTATCCTGACTATGAAGCTGTCGTCAGTCTGCTGTTGATTTCAAGGTCCTCCCCCTCACTTCTGAACTACTTTGTGTCCTCGCACCTCCCTATCACTGACCTTCACTTACCTACTCCTCACCCTCATAGGAACAGAAGAAATACTAGAAGAGAAAAAGACCAAGGTCTATCTAGTTCGCCTTCCACCTTCCTGGCGGTCGCATGCACATATGTCCCGAACTACCCATGTACTGTATCCCTTAATGTTAGTTCGTCTCTGCTCTTTCTACCCCTCCATCTCTATATCTGCCTAAACACCTATCTCATCGACCACGCACGCAGTCACCTCCGCAATTCTCCTTCACTCTGTGTCTATCCCTGGCAGTGTAAAACGCTCCTGAGATGTTATCCTACGTGAATATAAATGTAAGTTGTTGTTGTTTCTGACTTCGGTTTCTGTAAATAGCGATTAGCCAACCAGCAGTGCTGAACTGCTCTCAGTTACTCAATTCAAATAAACACAACACAAATTATTAACCTGTTCTATTAATCTATGTGTAATCTATTCTGTGTAATCAATTCTGTACCATTACTCATCCCGACATAGAACTTTACAGGACAGAAAGCTGCCATTCAGCCCATCTAGTCCATGTCAGTGTTTATACTCCACACAAGCCTCTGATTCCCCTCTCCTATCCCACTCTATTCCCTTCTCCCTCCTGTATGCAATGGGTTTCCTCTTTAACCCTCGGTGGTGCTTGTTGGCAGTGAGTTCCACATTCTAGGCTGTGCACACTGCACACCATGTTGAAGGATTGGAAGGCGGTTTATCTCAGTTGGGAGAGCTCCGGTGTCGGTCTGAGCCTAGTACAGTGTAGGACTGTTGGGAGCGGAGCATTGTCAGAGGTGCTGCCCTTTGGGTGACACAAACCGAGGTCCCACCCGCCTGTTCAGATGGAGAATGGAGGTCCCATGGGGCACTATTGGAAAAGAGGAGAGAGTTTCTCCCCAGTGCCTGGCCAACAAACCTCCAGATTGTCGTTCGCTTCAAGGCAATTGTGAATCGCTGCTGTGCACCATTTGGCTGCTGTGTTTGCCCACAAAATACACAGTCAATATACTTGTCAGCAGTTACCTGAGTAAGGTGTGAGTTATCTTGACGTTAAGAGAGCAGCATCAAACTAAGGATTATTATATAATAATCATCATCATAATAATCCTTGTATTTGATATCACGCCTTATGACGTCATTGAGACGTCTCAAAGCGCTTTATAGAATGTACTACAAATGAATTGACTATACACGGCAGCCAATTGCACACAGCTGTGTCTTACACACAGTCGTGGATGAGTGACCAATTTTTTGGGGTGGATTATTACCCCTGGAAAAAGGTCCACCAATCGACTTAACAACCGGGTTCCTACTTACTGCCAGGTACACAGAGGCGTGTGTGTGGGGTAAGGAAACTCGCTTAATGTTTCTGGGAATCGAACCCGGGTCCTCTCGCTTGCGAGGCGAGTGTATTATCAACACGTTCCCCTGCCTTCCAGAGACAGCGGAGGGTGTCGCACTGTGAGGGAGAGCAGCAGCAGAGAGAGAGAGAGAGAGAGTTTACTGAAGAGAATGGGATCAATGTTAAAAAGAAGCAACACTGTGTATTTGTATTCCTTCTGCACCCGATCAAAAGCTTTCAAAGGCTATTGGATCAGCTGATGCCGTGTGCGTCACATGCCCGATAGATCAAGCTTGTGAGTATCCTTGAAGTTCCAATACAGAAGGAGCCATTCAACCCATTGAGGCGATGTAGGTTTTCCAACTTCCTCACTGAAGCTATTTTTGGAGTCCTGTAGTGTAGTGGTTAGCACACTCGCCCCTGCAAGCGAGAGGACCCAGGTTTGATTCCCGGGCAGGGTGAAACCTTAGGCGGGTTTCCTTACTCCACACGCCTCTGTTTTCCTAACAGTAAGTAGGAACCTGCGTGTTAGACGATCGGGGGATCACTTTCCGGAGATAATAATTGCTCCCCAAAAATTAATAAATACAATTTGGTGACTTCAATCCATGACTGTTTGTGGGACGTTGCTGGGCGCAACTGGCTGCCACGTTTCGCCCACAAAACATAGAGTCAATTCACTTTACAATATATCCTGTGAAGTGCTTTGAGACGTCTCGAAGACGTGATAAGGCTCTGTATCAAAATGCAAGGATTATGATTATTATCTTCACTCTAACATGTAATTTGTGAAAAGGCTTCCAACCAGATCGGTGAGGTCTCTTCCTGATACTTGTGAAAGTGTAAAAATCTTAACATTAGAGCTAGACAGTGAAATCAGGGGCAGTTTTGCCCCCAAAGGGCAGTGGGAATCTCTCTCTCTCTCTCCCCCAAAAGGCTGTGGGTTATGACTGGATCCAGTCACACTGTCAGACTGAGGTGGAGATTTTTGTCAGGTCAGGGGATCAGGGGATACGGGGAAAAGGGGGGTGATTGGGGTTGAGGTACAGATCAACCGTGATGTTCTAGAATGGTGGAACAGGCTCGAGGGGCTGAATGGCCTCCTCCTGCTTCTATGTAAGAAACACAGGGAATCTCTGTACCCCATGGAAAGTAACGAGATGCGCTTGTAAGTAACCTAATGGCGGAACAGGCAAAAGCTCTTGTTCTATCAATATTTTGTTTCAACCCATACCCCCCCCGCCCCCACTCCCCCCGAACCTCACAAGAGTGACCCCAACTCCACCGTATTTGACATCTTCCAGCCTCTCAACTCCACTCTCGTTATGACCTCTTTGGGGGAGTCAACACCAATTAAATGTTGAATTACAGCGAGCTGAATTAAGACGGCACACGCACTGTGTAGCCACCCGACAGAAGTACTGTGGGCTGGATTCTATCCCAGGTTCCCGAGGTGAGGCAATAGGCTACTTACTCACTCAGTGACCTCATGTTATTAATAATACCAATCTCTGCATTTGAGAGCGCCTTGTCATCTTGTTGAGACGTCTCAAATTGTTTCAGAGAATAATAATCCTGCATTTGATATAACCCCTTTCTCTCTCCTGGTGTCCTGGCCAACAAATCCTTGCAAAATATAATCAGTCACAATATAAATGTGATAATTGTGATGGGGGTATGGAGTTTCAATTGGTATCACCAATCAGTAGGGCCCTCCTTCTCTCAAGTGCGAGATATTCACCGGTTTCCAGAGTGGGTGTGTGTGGGTGTGTGTGTGGGTGTGTGTGTGGGGGGGGCTATCACTGACCTGCCCATCGTCTGTGTGAACTTGTAGGCATTCATCTCACCCAAAGATCTCCAAACAAGTGAAACTTTTTAAATAAAAAATAACTTGTACAAATATAATAATAATAATCGTTGCCTTTGATATCGCACCTTATCACTTTGAGACGTCTCAAAGCTCTTCATGGAATATATGCTGTGGGAGAAACGCAGTAGGCAATTGCGCACGGCGTTCCCACAAACAGTCGGGAATTGAGTGACCGCATTTTTTTGCGGAGGGATTTTTTTCCCCCCCACAAAATATTTAGTCGATCTGTCAATCGACTAAATAGGTACAGTAAACTCATCATCACCTCAAGGGAACAGGACTCAGCGACGAGTTATCAGGAGCAATGAGTTAGGCGCGTGTATAAATACATAAATAAATGTGGCAGGATACAGACAGTTTACAGTGTAAATATATATTGCATATGTATATATATTAAAAAATACAGCCCAGTTTTCGGAGCAATAGCATTGAATGAGAAAAGATTATTGATAGAAATTAAATACAGTATTTGGACTGGTTTGACATCAAACCAAGTCCATGGGTTATTTTTTTTTAAATTCCATAATTAAAAAAAAGTTATATTACAAACATATTTATTATAAAAATAATTAGACTATAAATACATTTATTCTATAAATAATTGTAATGTTATACTATAAACATAATTGCTATTAAAATAATTATATTCTAAATAGATTTATTGTAAAAATAATTGTAATATTATGTTACAAACACATTTATTTATAAAAACAAAATAAAATGTTACTTTCCTCCCTCCCTGTCTCCCTATTTCAAGACCTTTTTCTAACCGTTTCTCTATTTAAATTTACAGTGAGAGAGAAAGAGAGAGAGAGAGAAATAATGATAGGTTCTGGGGCTGAACTCTGATGATGAGATCTGATGATGCAGATGTCCTCATTTCCTGGGTTACATTTCATTCTATATTTATATATTAAAAAAAACAGTTGCAGGAGGTAATTATATTTCTTTGGGTGTTTTTTTTTAATTGGAGAGAGAGAGAGAGAGAGGTGGGGAGAGAGAGAGAGAGAGAGAGACCAACGAAAGGTGTGTGTGAGATTATAACTGTTGTATTCACACAGATACAGACACAGAGAGAGAGAGAGAGAGAGAGATACAGTCACTGACACACACACACACACACACACCCCAATGCCAGTCTCTACTGCCCCAGAGCCTTGCCCTCTGCCTGGCAGCTGGTGGCGAGGGTAGGGTTGGCATTGGCTTTGAGGTTGGTTGAGTCCCAGGGAAGGGAACAGCACAGACCACAGCCCTCTCTCTCTCTCTCTCTCTCTCTCCATCTCTCCTGAGCTCACAGTCCCAGTCATGGCGGAGGAGCTGTTTACTGGATGTCAACAGTGGCCAAACACCAGAGATGCTTACGATCTGCAGGAAATCCTCGGTCAGTTACCAACCTCTCCCCCTCTCCCCCTCTCTCTCTCTCTCTCTCTTCCTCTTCCACACCCTCCAGCTCTACATGTCAACAATTCTCTCTCTCTCTCTCTCTCTCTCTTCCCCATCCATCCCCCCCTCTCTCTCCTCTCTCCTCTCAATCTGCTCACCTTTTCCCCTTCATCTAATTGCAGTCTATCCCAACCCCTCTCTCTCTCTCTCTCTCTGTGTCTTGGAAATATTCTGTGAAACCATTTTAATTCAGAGTATAACTGCAGTCCGGACTGAGCTGCTGCTTAAATGCAGAGAGTAACGGTGGATGGACAGATGAAGGCTACAAATTCATTTGCAATCTCTCTCTCTCTCTCTCTCCCCCTCTCTTCCCCCCACCACCTAACCCCCCACCCCCTAATACTATCCATCCATTGAAGACCACCGTCTTTAAATTGATGGATTTATTGATTGATTGATTGATTGATTGATTGATTTATGTTTTTTTTAAAAATTGTAGTGAAATTAACATGAAATTGCTGTCTGTTGAGCAGGTGCATGTGAACTGGTCTATGAATGAATTTGCCCCAATGTTTTTTTTTGTTTGTTGTGGGGGAGGGGAAGGGGGTGGGGGGGGAGGGGATGGTGGGGGTGGGGGTGGGGGGGGGGCGAAGAAAGAGGTCAGGGATGGAAGTGTGATGTTGTGTGGTACAGTGCTGTACTGATTTCTCTCTCTCTCCCTCCCTCCCTCCCTCCCTCGCGCTCTCCCCCACAAACGCAGAGAGATCGCTCTCTCCCTTTTGCTCGAGTACTGGAAAAGAATAACAATTTGGTCTGTTTGTGGGGAATTAATTGGCTGCCGCGTTTCCCCCCAAAATATACGGTCACTACACTTTACAGTGTATCCTGTGAAGCGCTTTGCGACGTCTTGAGGACATATCAAATGCAAGGATTATTATTATTATTAAAACAATAGGTGACAGTGCACTATTGACAATCGACCGGCTTAAAAATTGCATAAAGCTGCAACATCCACCTTTTAACATCGAGCCCCATTCACCGATTTTATTCCTTGTGTGCGTGTACGTATATACTGGATATAAATATAAATATATTTCATTTTATTTTAGAAAAATCGCACTGACATTAAGCTATTCAGAGAGATATCTGTCTCTCAGAAAGCTCTGTTGTTACTGTGATGTTTCAGCGTTGGGTTTCAGCTGTCAAATGGCCTATTCCAATGCGAAACGTGACATTGCAATAAACTCTGTTTGTAGGAACTATAATGTGATCTCCCTCCTCCCCTCCCACCTATACAGACACTCACCAATAGTATCTGCTTCACCCTTTCAGTGCTCACAACTTACCTTTCACGTTGGGGGTGAATTCCATTACTTGTGTTGTTGGTGTGGATCTGAAATTAAAGAGCTTCATATTTCGGGACTTGGAACTCACAGTCCGAGTTCCAGTGCAGTAATAGGGGGGTGGGGGGGGTGCACTGTCGGATGAGATGTCAAATCGAGGTTCCGTCTGTGCCCGTTCAGGTGGGAGTTAAAAGATCCCGCAACACTTTTCGAATCGGGGTGAAAATTCCTGACGGTCCAGCGCTTTGGGACATCCTCCCGACGCGAAAGGCGCTGAGTCAATGTAACTCACTGTTGTTGAGTGGGGAGTTTCGCCCCATGTCCTGGTCAGCACTCCTCCATCTAGTCAATGTGTGGGGTGCGTGTGTGAGGTGTATATGCGTGTGTGTCTGTGGGTGTGTGGGTATGTGGTGTGTGTTGTGTCGGTGTGTGTGTGTATGTGGTGTGTGTGTGTGGGTGTGTGGGTATGTGGTGTGTGTTGTGTCGGTGTGTGTGTCTGTGGTGTGTGTGTGGTGTGTGTGTGTATGTGGTGTGTGTTGTGTCGGTGTGTGTGTGTATGTGGTGTGTGTATGTGAGGTGTGTGTGTGTGGTGTGTGTGTGTGTATGTGGTGTGTGTTGTGTCGGTGTGTGTGTATGTGGTGTGTGTATGTGAGGTGTGTGTGTGTGTGTATGTGGTGTGTGTATGTGAGGTGTGTGTGTGTGGTGTGTGAGTGGTATGTGTGTGTGTGTGTGTGTATGTGGTGTGTGTGTGTGGTGTGTGCGTGGTATGTGTGTGTGTGTGTGTATGTGTGGTGTGTGCGTGGTATGTGTGTGTGTGTGTATGTGAGGTGTGTGTGCTGGATCCTGCTGTGTGCAAACTGGCTACTGCTTTCACCCACGCAAAACAAACACCAAGACAGCTATTACTCTGGAGCAAATATCTGAAGCTGCGTTAAGGCTTTGCAATGTTACAGGCGCCATATCAAAGGCAGAGGCGATGATTTATTCATAGTCACAGAATATTGAACTGTTTTTTAAAAGCAGAAAACAGCCACTTGTTCCACAACCGTGGAGGGAAATCAGGCCACGTCGCCCTGCGTTGTGTGGCATTCAAATACCTCGTCAGCTGCTTGGCCTTTTGGCTAAGATCAAGGCTGGTATCTGTTATAATAATAATAATAATAATAATTTGGTCACTCAATCCACGACTGTTTGAGGGACGCTGCTGTGCACCGCGATTCGCCCACAAAATACGCAATGACTACACTTTACGGTATATCCTGTGAAGCGCTTTGAGACATCTCGAAGACGTGATAAGGCGCTGTGTCAAAGGCGAGGATTATTATTATGATTATCAGTGTATATGGAATGTGGCACATCCACATCACACAGTCCCTTCACCTGAAGCTCGGTGATGTGTCAGACACCCGGCTGAACCCCAACACTGCAGAGACATCACCTTGACATGCTGGGCCTTGTGTGATCGTCTGTGACCCTTTCACTCGGTTTCAAATCGCCTTCATGCCCTGGCACCTCCCTCCCTCCCTCCCTCCCTCTCCGACCTGCTTACCCCCCCACTCCACCACCCGCCGCTGCTCCCGCTCGGCTGGCTCCGGCCTCCTGTTCATCCTTCGCCCCCTCCCGCTCTACCATCGGTGGCCGTACCTTCAGCCACTACCCCCCCGAAACACAGTCATCCCCTCACCCCCTCCCTCCCTACTTTCAAATCCCACCTTCCTTTTTGATCGCGCTCATGGTCACCTCCCCCCCCACCCCCCCCCCCGGCTCAGGGTCAGACTCCGCCACTGTCAAGCCCCCCAGGACGCTACCCCATGTGAAGGGCACTGTGTAAGTGCATGTTGTTGTTGTCTCTCTTATCCGGCTCCAGGAAGCGGGGCCACAGCGCTGGTGCAGGCCGCCTTCTGCAAACCCAAGAAGGAGAGAGTGGCCATCAAACGGATTAACCTGGAGAAATGTACCACCAGCCTGGACGAGCTTCTGGTGAGTCCACACTTTCTGCTGAGATCCCACTATTCGTGCCCTCCGTTCCACCATCGGTGACCGCGCTTTCAGCCACTAAACGCCCTGAAACTCTGGAACACTCTCCCTCTATCCCTCCCTCCCCCTCGGCCCCTTCCTTCCCCATCTTCAGGTCACGCCTGAAGACCTTCCTCTTTGAACAGTGCCTCCCACCTCCCCCTCTCCTCAGCACCTCTGTCAAGTGCTCTGGGATGCTGCCCTGCACAGTGGTTAGAGTGCTCGCCTCGCAAGCGAGAGGACCCGGGTTCGATTCCCAGGCCGGGCAAAATCCTCAGCAAATTTCCTTTCTCCACACACACACACACACACACACACACAAGCCTCTGTTTATCCAGCAGTAAGTTAATTGGCTCCAGGAAGCGGAGCCACAGTGCTGGTGCAGGACGCCTTCTGCAAACCCAAGAAGGAGAGAGTGTTTGTTAATCAATTGGCGGATCGCTTTCCGGGGGTAACTCAGTCCACGGCTGTTTGTGGCCCACAAAACAATCCACTTTAAGCTTCTGGGCCACTACCCTGCGTGAGGGGCGCTATAAAAGCACAAGTTGTTGTTATTATTGTCTTGTTCATGTCTTCATCACCTCCAGGCTCGACTATGAAAACGCCCTGAACTCCTCCCTCCACAGCTGCAGATAATCCAGAACTAACTCTGCAGCCCGTGTCCTCTCCCGCCCCAAACTCCGTGACCCCATCTTCCCCACTCTCGCCCGACTCCACTGGCTCACTATCCTACAGAGGATCCAGTTCAAAATCCTGGTCCTCACATACAAAGCCCTCCATGGCCTCGCCCCACCCTACCTCTGCGACCTCCTAACCCCCTATCAGTCTGCCCGCTCCCTCCGCTCAGCCGGCTCTGGCTGCTCTACACCCCCCGACCCACCCGCCCCACCATTGGCGGGAGAGCCTTCAGCCACTCTGCCCCCAACCTCTGAAATTCCATCCCCCAGTCACTCCGCCTCGCCCCCTCCAAGTCCCACCTCAAGACCCTCCTCTTCGACCATTCCATCGGCCACCCCCTTCCCCTCCCCTCCCCTCCCCTCTCTCCCCCCCCTGACCCCAGCTCGGGTCTGAAATGCTGTCACTGTCCAGCACTTTGGGATGTCCTCCCGACGTGAAAGGCGCTGTACACATGTAATCTTGTACATGTAATCAAGGCTGAGACTGATAGATTTTTAAAAAACAGAGGGATTGGGGGATATGGGGAGAGGGCAAGTAATTAGAGTTAGGTCTGAAGATCAGCCATGATCTTATCGAATGGCGGGGCACAGGCTCGAGGGCCGAATGGCCGACTGCTGCTAATTCTTATGTTCTTATGTTCTTGTTGTTGTTGTATATTATTATGTTTTTTCTCTCCTTGTCCTAAAGGAGTGTGACTCTCCTTACTTGGTTCCAATTACACCATTTCACCTACAAATATACAGTCAATTCACTTTACAGCCTATTCTGTGAAGCGCTTTGAGACGTTGAGAAGATGTTAAAAACGCTATATCAAATGCGAGTATTATTATTATTACAATATATTCTGTGAAGAGCTTTTACAAAGTGATAATAGCAAATGAAAGGATTATTATCATTATTATGGATTTTATATATATATATATATTCATGGAGACATTAAAGGTTGTATGGCACCTTCCTACCTCTCCGACCTCCTTAACCCCACACCCAACCCACTGCCCACTGCCTCCGCTCGACTGGCTCCGGCCCCCTGCTTGTCCCTTGTGCCCCCCATTCCACTATCGGCGGCCGCGCTTTCAGCCATTAAATGCCCCAAAACTCTGGAACACTCTCCCTCTATCCCTCCCTCCCCCTCGGCCCCTTCCTTACCCATCTACAGTTGGCGTCTGAAGGCCTTCCTATTCGACCAGTGCCTACGGTCACCTCTCCCCCCCCCCCCCCCAGGCTCAACGTCGTGCTCTGCCACTGTCAGGCGCTCTGAGGGGGTGCTGTATAAATGCAAGTTGTTGTTATTTCCTCTGGAGAGAGGAAGGGGCTGTCGCTGACTCTGGGTTGTTGCAGTTGCAGTTCTCGCTGCTGTATTTGTTCAACGTCACTCGCTCTGCCAACAATTGTGAAGCGATTTGGCCAGATTCAGCCCCGTGTCAGATTCAAGTCTTTTTGGCTTTGTTTTTGGTGCGTTTCTGATCCAGCGGCAATTAAACAAAATCCTCGTGACTTGACTTTTGGTCGACAAAAATATTAAATGGTGAAATTGAGAGGAGATTTGTGTTTCAAACAATGCTCTGCCGTTCCCTTGGAACATTGCCTCGGGCTTCAGTTAATCATCTTCTCGATGTGGAAGGCGATATTTGTGATAATGGTTAAAAAAAAAACCTTTGCATTTGCTAAAGCGCTTTACTCCTGCCTTCGCGACGTCTCAATGCGCTTCACAGAACATACTGTGATCTTTGTGGGCGATTGACCGTGTATTTTGTGGGCAAAACGCGGCAGCCAATTGCGCACAGTAGCGTCCCCACAAACAGTCGTGGAGTGAATGACCGTATTTTTTTTTGAAGGGATTATTACCCCCGGAAAAGCGACCCATCAATCGACTAACAACTGGTTTCCCACTTACTGCGAGGCAAACAGGCGTGTGCGTGTGCGTGGAGTAAGGAAACTTGCCTAAGGTTTTGCCTTACTCGGGAATTCAACCCGGGTCCTCTCGCTCGCGAGGTGAGGCCTCTAATCACCGACTAACTGTTGTTGTTGTTGAACAGAAAGAGATTCAAGCCATGAGCCAGTGCAGCCACCCCAACGTGGTGACGTATTTCACCTCCTTCGTGGTGAAGGACGAGCTGTGGTTAGTGATGAACCTGCTCAGTGGAGGTGAGTAATAATAATAATACTATTAATAATACAAAAAGATTGTTCCCCGAGTCCCAATGTGCTCTCTCTCTCTCTCTCTGTCATCTTACTGGCCACACTAGTCAGGCTTTTCCATATAATAATAATAATAATCCTCGCATTTGACACAGCGCCTTATCACGTCTTCGAGACGTCTCAAAGCGCTTCACAGGATACACTGTGAAGTGTAGTGACTGTGTATTTTGTGGGCGAAACCCGTTTGATATTTGTCAGCTTAGGGTATCTAAGGGATACGGGGCAAAGCCGTGTAAATGGAGTTGAGGTACAGATCAGCCATGATCTAGTAGAATGGTGGAACAGACTCGAGAGGCTGAATGGCCCCCTCCTGTCCCTGTGTTCCTGAGACTGTGGGGACATTAGAGCTGAGCCCAACCCGGTCCTGTCTAGATTCCAGCCGGGGGTGAGGGGCCATATTCTATATCAACAGACGAGGGAACGAGTTCCGGAGCTCGGGTTTGATTAAGATATTGATCCAATCAGATAGCTTGGGTTAGTTATTTTGGGACATCACGCCTCAGGGTTTAGTTATGGATTTTAACTGAAAAATTCCACACTGTTTGTTGCTCAGAAACAGACCAGAGACGAATAACATTAAAGCATTAAATCACTGGCCGCAGAGATGAGTTATTTGAGCCGTGCTGGTCGGAACCTCAGGCGGGTTTCCCTGTTCTACTCCCTCCCTCTCTCTCACTCTCTTTCTCCTTGTGGGTCTCTGTATCTGTATGGTCCTACCATCGGCAGTCAGGCCTTCAGGCTCGGTCCCCACTCTTTGGAACTCCATCCCACGGTCTCTTTGCTCGCACCCTCCATTGCCTTCATCAAACCTTGTCTCAAGACCCTCCTTTTTGACCGCGCCTTCGGTCACCCTCCTACCCCCACCCTCACTGCCCTCTACCCCTCCTAATCCTGATCCCAATCCCTGACTCGGGTCCAAATCCCCGATTGTCCAGTGCCTTGGGACGTCCTCCTGACATGAAAGGCGCTAAACACACGTAATTTGTTGCAGTTGTTGTTTGCTGTGCGTGTATGTGTGTGTCTCTCTCTGTTTTCCTGCTCAGTTTATTGCTCCTTCTCTCTGTTCATTCAAATACAAATTATACATGGATTTCTTTTAGAAAATAATATTTTGGGATACAGAGCAGTACAGGAGTAATTTGATACATGACATATAGAAGGGTAGTGAGGCTGGGAAGAACCAGGCAGCTTAGGGTCTAAGGTTCTCAAAGCTTCCCACTCTTGTAGACTAATAATAATAATAATCCTTGCAGTTGATATTGCCTTATCGCGTCTTCAAGCGCTCTGGGACACTACCCTGTGTGAAAGGCGCTATATAAATGCAAGTCGTCGTTGTTGAGACGTCTCAAAGCGCTTCACAGAATATACTATATATTTTGTGGGCGAAACGCGGCTGCCAATTGCGCACAGCAGCGTCCCACAAACAGCCGTGGATTGAGTCATCAATTTATTGTTGTTATTATTATTTTTTNAAAAATGTTTTGAAGGGATTATTAACTCCCGGAAAAGCGATCCACTGATCGACTAACAACCGGGTTCCTGCTCACTGCCGGTAAACAGAGGCGTGTGTGTGGAGTAAGGAAACTTGCCTAACGTTTCGCCCTGCACCATACAGAATTAATTAGTTAAGTAACTACTCAATTATTGTAGCAAGCGACTACCAGAATGGTAGAAGGGAAACTGGATAGACCTTAGTCCTTTCTTGTCCAGCATTTCCTATGTTGCTATATTAGCTCCTCCCCAGCACCAGCCCCTACAATAGAATTATACAACACAGAAGGAGGCCATTCGTCTCATCGTCTCTTTTGAAAGAGCTACCGACTAGTCCCACTGCCCCCACTCTTACCCCGTAGCCTGCACATTGTCACTTGTTGCCCAGGCTCCCCCTCAGACTTGCCTGGTCTCCGAGGGCTCGGCTCCAGCTCTGCCAATCAGCTGCTCCTCCAATCCCTCCGCCACTTGGGTCTAATTTACCATATTTGCAAGACATGCTAATTGACAAGTGTCAAAGCTTGCAATTACCCCTCAAAATACACAGTCACTACGCTGTACAGTGTATCCTGTGAAGCGCTTTGAGACATCTCGAAGATGTGATAAGGCACTGTATCAAATGCCAGGATTATTATTATTATTATAACTAATAACAAATAGTTAACGATCGGTCTGTGTATCAGCCTGGCTGCACTCTCGCCTCTGAGATAGAGGTTTGTGGGTTCAAGCCCCCAGGTCAGAACATGGACCTATACAGTCCAGGCTGACGCTCCAGTGCAGGGCTGGTGGGGGGGGGGGGGGGGGGGGCGCTGTTCGGTCAGAGGTTCTGTCCTTTGGATGAAATGTTAAACCCTGGTCCTGTCTGCCTGTCCAGGTGGACGTTAAAGATCCCGTGACGCTACGGAGAAAGAGAAGGGAGTTTATTTTGGGAGAGTAAGCGCTCCGGGACACTATCCGGAATGTGAAGGGCTCTATATAAATGCAAGTTGTTGGTTGTTGTCCTTGGCCAACAATTCTCCAGATAAGTCTCTCACTTACTGCAGCTGTTTGGAGGTTCTGGTTTTGGTTCAAATTAGCTGCCATGTTTTGTCACACAGGACGTTATACGTGTGATATTATACCAAGTGAAAGGATTGTTATTGTGTGTGTGTGTGAGTGTGAGTGTATGTGAGCACAACATATGTGTGCAACAGACGTTCCTGTATATCCTGTCCTTCCCACTTTCAAATCCCGGCCAAAGACCTTCCCATTTGATCGTGCTCACGGTCACCTCCCGTCTCTCTCTCCCCTCGGCTCGGGGTCAAACTCCGCCACTGTCAAGCCCCCTGGGACGCTACTCCGTGTGTAGGGGGCTGTGTGAATACAAGTTGTTGTTGTTGTTGTCCTGCCAGGCTCTATGCTGGATATAATCAGAGGAATCATCAGTAATGAGGAACACAAGACTGGCGTCCTTGACGAATCGGTCATAGCAACTGTGCTCAGGGACGTGTTGGAAGGTCTGGATTACCTGCACCGGAACGGACAGATACACAGGTAGGAACACAAAAACAGGAGGAGGCCATTCAGCCCCTCGAGTCTGTTCCGCCCTTCTATTAGATCACGGCTGATCCGTACCTCAACCCCAATTACCCCCCTTTTCCCCGTATCCCCTGATCCCCTGACCCCACAAACATCTCCACCTCAGTCTGGACAGTGTGACTGGATCCAGTCATAACCCACAGCCTTTTGGGGGAGAGAGAGAGAGAGAGAGATTCCCACTGCCCTTTGGGGAAAAAATTGCCCCTAATTTCACTCCTTGTAAACTCAGGGGAATAACAGCCCCTGTCTGTGCCAGTGTAGTGCCAGATGCCAACAGGTACAGACTGAGCGTCCAGACATTCAGATAAACTTAAGAGGTCGGACAGATCTTACTGCTGCTCCTCTGTGTTCTCTGTGTTCTCTGGTGACTGTGTGTTCCTTGTTTGCCGTTGCAGGGATGTTAAAGCCGGCAATATTTTATTTGGGGACGATGGATCGATACAAATTGCAGGTATTTGCTGTGTTTCTTTTTATCGGTCAGTTATAAATGTTACCTTAGAGTCAGGAAACAATCGCCTTATTGTCCTTCTCCTGTGAACCGTCTAACACGGCTCAGCAGAGCGGAGCAGTAATCGGGATTATTAATAAAACTCGATTGTGTCTGAACCGTGGTTTTTGGCTGTTTAAAGCGTCTCCTGCTGTGAAATGCTGGTTAGAGTTAAAGTTAAAATGATAAGGCGCAGTCGTGAAGAATTTTCATCTTGCAAGGCAGAAATTCCTCCCTCCTTACCGGCTGCACCCCCCACCTCCCCCACATCCCCCCCCCCCCCCCAACCCCCTATCAGACAGCTGCCAATCTCATTAAAAACCTTATGAAAAATGTAATACGTTTCCCATCGCAGTCAGTGACACAGAGTGGTAGAAACTATTTTCTCTGGTGGGGGTGGCGGGGGGAGAATCCAGAACAAGGGCCATCATCTTAAAACTAGAGTCAGGCCATTTAGGAGCGAAATCAGGGGCAGTTTTTCACCCAAAGTGGGGTGGGAATCTGGAACTCTCTCCCTGCCCCAAAAGGCTGTGGATTATGGCTGGATCCAGTCATGTTGTCCAGACTGAGGTGGAGAGATGTTTGTCAGGTCAGGGGATCAGGGGATAAGGAGAAATGATGGGACATTGGAGTTGAGGTACAGATCAGCCATCGACAAATTATATCTGTATAGTGCCTTTCACGTCGGGAGGACGTCCCAAGGTGCTGCTGAAAAAAAATCCATTTAATTCCACTTCTCTGCCCTTCTCTATTACCTTTTAAATACATTGCTAAATATTTGTCCGATTCCCTTTTAAAAGCTGCTGTGGATTACGTTTCAAGCATCTGTTTTGCGAGGACATTCTGTGATCTCATAATCTTCTTTGCAAAAAAAAAACACAATGCCTCCTAACTCTCCCTTTGGGTTAGACGGTGGTTTTAGATGTAAGGCGTGGAGTCCACGAGACTCGTGGAGTCCTGTAGCTCAGTGGTTAGAGCACTCGCTTTGCAAGAGAGAGACCTGGGTTCAATTCCAGGCAGAGGGCGAAACCTTGGGCAAGTTTCCTTACTCCACACAGAGCCTAATAATAATCCCTCCAAAACCTTCTACGCTTCGGTGCGTAGTGGCTGAAGGTGCAGCCGGCCATGGTGGAGCGGAGGGGACGAGGGACAAACAGGAGGCCGGAGCCAACTGAGTGGGGGCAGCGGGTAGTGTGGGGTAAGCAGGTCACAGAGGTAGGGAGGAAGGTGTCAGGGCGCGAAGGGATTTGAAGTGTGAAGATCTTGAAATTGATCTGTTTTGTAATAGGGAGCCAGTGGAGGCTGGCGAGGGCTGGGGTGATGGGGGTACAGAGTTTAGTGTGTGTGATAGGGAGCCAGCGGGACCTGGCGAGGGCTGGGGTGATGGGGGTACAGAGTTTAGTGTGGGTGAGGATACAGGTGGGGGAGTGAGTTCAGGATCAGTTCAGACAGGACAGTAACCATCTGACTCTTTCCTTGGTTAGATTTCGGAGTCAGTGCCTTTTTCGCGACCAGCGGAGATATAACAAGAACCAAAGTGAGGAAAACCTTTGTTGGGACTCCGTGTTGGATGGCCCCAGAGGTGATGGAACAGGTAACTGAGCGTCAACAACAGCAACAACTTGCGTTTATGTCGCGCCCTTCACACGGGGTAGAGACCCAGAGCGCTTTAGAGGTGGGTTGTGTTTCATTTTAATCAGTGGTTTGTAAAGTAGGTCTGAGTGAGATTTTTCTGCTGTATTTTACACTAGGTTTTATTTTGGGGACTAACCAGGTGTTTGACACACGTGGAAACCCATCACCCGTTGCTTAAGAGCTAAAACCACTAACTACGTCTGTCCCCAAAAGGTGCAAATCCCCACGGAATTCCTTCCCCTTTTCAAGCTGTAAGATTTCTTCTGTTGCTCCAAACCTATCACTGGGGATTTTTCACATACTGTGTGTATTAGAAAAAGTAAGGTATATTTTTAACCACTGCCAAAGTGTGGAGTGAAGTTAATCGTTCACAAGACCTGGAGTTGATCCTTCACAAAATGCAGAATGAATTCATCACAGAAGTTGGTAGTGGATCACAAGCTGTGGTTAGAGCTGTATCCTATGGACCAAGCCCAGCCGGGCGTCTGACACACACGGAAACCCGTCGCCGTGACCGGCCGGGCGTCTGACACACACGGAAACCCGTCGCCGTGACCGGCCGGGCGTCTGTCACACACGGAAACCCATCACCGTTGCTTAAGAGTCTCCAAACCCGACTGAGAATTCCCGGCCTCCCACCTTCACATGGAAACCCCAGAGATAGATTGTCAGGATGGAATGCGCTCTCTCTCTCTCTCTCCTGGAGGGACACCTCCTGCTCACCTAATTCCTGAGGGTATTATGCACAGTTTGGCGAGAGCTAAGGCTTGGGGGAGAGCCCGGAGTGCGCGTTGAGGTAACTGCTGGAGTCTAACCAGCATTTTTCAGTCGGATCCAGCATCGGAACTGAGGTTTGATTACGGGCTAGGACTAGTGGGAATTTTGGGGCCTCGGAACGTTGATTATTTTAGTGGGCGGTTGATCTTGGTGAGATTTCCATGCATTAAAGCTAAACCTGCCTGTTACCACTAGATGTCACTGGCGGGGGGGGGGGGAAAGCACATCAACGTGTGCTGTCAGCTCCTCGCACATCAGTGACAAATTCACCCTGGATTCCCTGTTTACGCAAAGGGGAGAGGGAATCTCTCTCTCTCTCTCTCTCTCTCCCCAAAAGGCTGTGGATCCATTGAAATCTTCCAAGACTGAGGTGGGTGGATGTTTGTCAGATTAGGGGATACGGGGCAAAGCCGGAGAATTGGAGTTGAGGTACTGATCAGCCGTGATCTTATAGAATGGTGGAACAGGCTCGAGGGGCTGAATGACCTCCTCCTCTTCCTATGATCCTTTGTTTAATTGCAGGTTAGAGGTTACGACTTCAAAGCAGATATCTGGAGTTTCGGGATAACCGCGATAGAGTTGGCCACTGGAACCGCTCCGTACCACAAGTACCCCCCGATGAAGGTCAGGGAAACTTCTGAAATGTTTTGTCTGAAACGGTTATATTCTTATTATGATAATAATAATAATGATAATATAATAATAATCCTTGCATTCAATACACCGCCTTCCACTCACCTTGAGGATGTCTCAAAGGCGCTTCACGGGATTTTACTGTGAGGTGTGTAGCGACTGCAGATTTCTGGGCAAACGTGGACACAGGATCTCACAAACAGCCATGAAATGAGCGAACAATTTATCTGCTGGATTGTTGGCCGGGACACCAGGAGAAATCCCCTTTCCCTTTATCAATTGTGTTTACCCGAAAAGCCACCTCAGTTTAACATCTTATATAATAATAATAATCCTTGCATTTGATATAGCGCTTTTCACGTCGGGAGGACGTCCCAAAGCGCTTCACAGAACACACTGTAAAGTGAATTGACTGTATATTTGTGGGTGAACGCGGCAGCCAATTGCGCACAGCAATGTCCCACAAACAGTCGTAGATTGAAAATGACCAATTTATTATTGTTTTTGGTTTTGGAGGGATTATTATTAGGCTCTGTGTGGAGTAAGGAAACTTGCCCAAGGTTTGGCCCTCTGCCTGGGATTGAACTCAGGTCTCTCACTTGCAAAGCGAGTGCTCTAACCACTGAGCTACAGGACTCCATCTTAGCTGAAGAACAGCACCTCTGACTCTATTATAATAATAATAATAATAATAATAATAATAATAATAATCCTTGCATTTGATAGAACGCCTTAGCACGTCAATGAGATGTTTCAAAATGCCTCACGGAATATATTGCAAAGTGGATTGACTATATTTTGTGGGCGAAAAGCGTCAGCCAATTGCGCACAGCAGAGTCCCACAAACAGACTTTTGTGCTGTTTAAGCCTAGACCGGGAGCTCTAGAAGTGACGTGGAGCTTAAACCCACGACCTTCCCACTCAGAAACAAGAAGGTTATTGAGTGAGTCAGAGACACCAAGTGGAATGGAATTGTTGGAGGTGGATTTGACTGATGTTTGGGGTTACACATTCGCATATTGGGAAATCACTGTGTTGCTGATGTGCACATGTCAGTGAGCGCTTTCCTTCCCTTATTTTTCCACCAGGTTCTGATGGTGACATTGCAGAATGACCCTCCGACCCTCGAGACTGGGATCGAGGACAAGGAAATGGTGAAGAAATACGGAAAGTCCTTTCGCAAACTCATAGCCCAGTGCTTGCAGAAAGATCCTGCGAAGAGGTGAGTGAGGAGGCCACAGGCAACCAGGCATGGGGTGGGGGTGGAGTGGTTTGGGGTGGGGCTGGAGTGGTTTGGGGTTGGGTGGTTTGGGTTGGGGGTGGGGTGGGTTGGGGTGGTTTGGGGTGGGGGTGGGGTGGTTTGGGGTGGGGGTGGAGTGGTTTGGGGTTGTGGTGGTTTGGGGTGGGGGTGGGTGGTTTGGGGTGGGGGTGGGGTGGTTTGGGGTGGGGGTGGGCTGGTTTGGGGTGGGGGTGGGGTGGGGTGGTTTGGGGTGGGGTGGTTTGGGGTGGGGGTGGTTTGGGGTGGGGTGGGGGTGGGGTGGTTGGGGTGGGGTTGGGGTGGGGTGGGGTGGTTTGGGGTTGGGGTGGGGTGGGTGGGGTGGGGTGGGGTGGTTTGGGTGGGGTGGGGGGTGGGGTGGGGTGGGTGGATGGGGTGGTTTGGGGTGGGGGTGGGGTGGTTTGGGGTGGGGTGGGGTGGTTTGGGGTGGTTTGGGGTGGGGGTGGGGTGGTTTGGGGTGGTTTGGGGTGGGGTGGGGGTGGGGTGGTTGGGGTGGGGGTGGGCTGGTTTGGGGTGGGTTGGGGTGGGTGGGGTGGTTTGGGGTGGTTGGGGTGGGTTGGGGTGGTTTGGGGGCGAAAAAGTATCCAATAAAATGACATTGTTTCAGGTTTTGACGATCACACATTCCCAGGAAAGAGCAGTTGCTGTTTTGTCAGTTACCGTTGAACCAAAAACTACTTACATTTACACAACGCCCCTCACGCAGGGGGTAGTGGGTTGGGGAGTAAACAGGTCGGAGAGGGAGAGAGGGAGGGAGGTGCCAGAGTGTGAAGGGATTTGATGACCAATTGCAGCTCAATATTTCAGATGAGTAACTCAAACAGAACAACAACAACAAAATTACATGTGTGTAGCGCCTTTCGGGTCGGGAGGATGTCCCAAGGTTCTGAGTCCCGTCTGCAGGTCAGACCCATTGCACATCATCCGTGGAAACCCAGCTCTGTTTGTAATGTTTAAAAGGGAATTAGACAGGTGTCTGAATGGAAAAATTATCGAAGGGGTTTGTTCTCTGACAGAGAGACAGCACAAGCAACAACAACAACAAGATTCCATTTATAGAGCGCCTTTCACGTCGGGAGGACGTCCCAAGGCGCTGGAAAACAAATTGGTCACTCACTGCATGACTGTTTGTGGGATGCTGCTGTGGGGTGGGCACGATGGGGTGAATGGCCTCCTTCTGTGCTGAAACAATCTATGATGCTAATCCATGTTTAGGGCCATAGGCCGGGGACTGACCTGTCTCATCGCTTTTTGTTTAATTGCCAGGCCGTCAGCAGCAGAGCTTCTGAAACATAAATTCTTCCAGAAATCAAAGGTAAGGGAGAAAGCACTCAGCGCACACCAGACGCCCGGGGACACAGATTAAAGGGCGAGAGTCTATCCTAACACTGGTCACACAATTTTCAGGTATTTCTGTTCAGAGCAGCTTTGACTCACGGACTGTTTCCGACAGTAAGTTACACTCCTTTACAGAGTGGGAGTCGACAGCAGGAGTAGGTTACCAGGAAGGGTCACTGAGACCAGCTGGTTCCTGTAGTGGGAAGACATTAGGTTAATGTGCAATAATAATAATAATCTTTGCTTTTGATATAGCGTCTTATCATTTTGTTGACTGTGCTTCACAGAATATATTGCCAAGTGTAGTGACTGTGTATTTTGTGGGCGCAACGCGGCAGCCAATTGGGCACAGCAGCGTCCCACAAACAGTCAGAGTGACCACAAACGGTCAGAGTGACCAATTTGTTGTGTCCCACAAACAGTCAAGAGTGACCAATTTGTTTTTCATAAGGGATTATTACCCCCGCAAAGCGATCCACCAATTGACTTACAAACAGGATATGTGTGTGGAGTGTGGAAACTTGCCTGAGGTTTCGCCCTGTTCCGGGAATCGAACCCGGGTCCTCTCGCTTGTGAGACGAGGGCTCTAACCGCTGAGCTCCAGGCCTCCACGCCATTGGTAGTCTTCCAAGATGAGGCCAAATGACCTAAAGAGACCTTTGTAATCCTGGTGTCTCCTCTACCTACCTACCTGCCCGTACCCTCCGTTCCTCTGGCTCCGGTCTGCTCCACATCCCCCGCCCCAACCGCCCTACCATCGGTGGCCTTCAGCCTCTCAGCCCCGAGACTCTGGAACTCTATCCCCCAGTGCCTTCGCCGCTTCCTCCCTTTCCTCCTTCAAGGCCGGTCTCAAGACCTTTCTCTTTGACCTTCAGCCTTCAGCTCCCCTCTCGACTCTCTACCCCCTCCTTGCTCCCTCCCTTCCCTCCCCTCACCCTGACCATTTCCCCCTCCTCGCTCCCTCCCTTCCCTCCCCTCACCCTGACCATTTCCCCCCTCCTCGCTCCCTCCCTTCCCTCCCCTCACCCTGACCATTTCCCCCCAATGCTCGGGTCCTGACCCAACTGTACAGCGCCTTGGGACGTCCTCCCGACGTGAAAGGCGCTCAATAAATGGAATCTTGTTGTTGTTGTTGTTGTTGTTGTCTCTCGTGGAATCCTTCAAAAAAAAATTGGTCACTCATTCCACGACTGTGTGTGAGACGCTGCTGTGCGCAATTGGCTGCTAAGTTTCACCCACCCCCATATAGTCAATTCACATTACAGTATATTCCGTGAAAGTGCTTTGAGACGTCTCGAAGACGTGATAAGGAGCTACATCGAATGCAAGGATTATTATTATTACTGTGATTCTGTACGTGTGAGCTGTCAAAGGGAACGAGACGTACATACTCTGCTCACAGGTCGCTGATTAGATCAAGACCCAGATTCGTATCCGATTTGACCTTGTACTTGTCTCGTTTCAGAACAAGGAGTACCTGATGGAGAAAGTGTTTGGCCAGTTATTAAGTGGAGGACAAAGGAACGCTAAGGTAATCAGAGTGGTCTGAGATTAGTTATGCTATTGGGTGCGGTGCTCAGTCTCTGATCAGCAGAAATTTGTCCTCTCTTTGGAAGAACGTGACCTAATTGCAAATAGCGGCAGTGTACTAGAATGTGGAACGCTTTGCCCACACATACACGTACTTATTTGAAGCTAAGACCACAACAATATTTGAGAGGGAATTGGATAACTATCGGAAATGGAACAAAAGACACAGTTTAAATGTTACCGTGGAGATAGATTGGGTCAGTCGTTCAGTCGTCTCAAAGCGCTTCACAGCTGTAAAGTACTGTAAAGTGGAGTGACTGTGTATTGGTGAGGAAACACAGCTTTGGACATTGGATCCAGATTGTTGCATGTGTGTGCGTTGGTGGGGAGGGGGTGAGGGGGTCTTTCTCAAAACTAATTTTACTTCCTTTTTAACGTTGAACGTGTTCCTCTTTCCTATACAGTTCCTATACAGTTTCCTATACAGTTGGACACCCACACGCACCCATGCCACACACCCACACACGCACCCAACACACACACACACACACACCACACACAAACACCACGTGACCTATCTGTAATGTGTACACTCTGTCACTAACTCAGCTCTCCATCTCTCTACAGTCCGAGAACACAGTGCAGGCGAGTGGGACGGTGCCAAAGGCTGACAATGAGTCAAACAAAAAGGTTAGTGCTTGCTAAACGCTTTGGAGAACCTTTGCAGAGCGGGGGAACCTTTGACAGCGATTAGCTTAGTTGTGGGGCGGGGAGGGAGGGCTGGTTACGTGTGGGTCACAAGACAGAGTGACGTTCATTCCCATTGAACCTGACCCCGCGGTGAAATTTCAACTGTTTTGTGAACAGCTCTTTCAAATTAGAAACAGAAGCAGAAAACACCCACCCTGTTCCGTAGCAACACAATGACATTTACGCCTCCTTCCTTCGCTGCTCCTTAACTGCAGACACACTCAGCTACTCATTATCTGAGCCACCGCTCACCCTGAGTGTGTGACCCTGACAAGAGAGCAATCAACAACAACAACTTGCATTTGCGCAGCGTCCCAGAGCGCGTGGCAATGGTGGAGCATGAGCCCGGGGGGAGGGAGGGGTGAGTTGACCATAGGTACGGTCGGAGATGAAGATGGGGAGGGAAGGGGCAAGGTGGAGGGATTGAGGGAGAGTGTTCCAGAGTTTCGGGGCGCAGTGGCTGAAAGCGCGGCCATCTTTGGTGGCACTGAGGGCACGAGGCCTGTGCTCAATTACCACAGAGGCTGGATTGTTATTGTCATTATTGTTATGATTGTCCTTAGTCATAGAATCATAGAATTACACAGCACAGAAGGAGGCCATTCGGCCCATCGTGTCTGTGTCGGCTCTTTGAAAAGAGCTTCCAAGTCAACCCCACTCCCCCGCTCTCTCCCCATAGCCCTGATCAACCCCACTCCCCCGCTCTCTCCCCATAGCCCTGATCAACCCCACTCCCCCGCTCTCTCCCCATAGCCCTGATCAACCCCACTCCCCCGCTCTCTCCCCATAGCCCTGATCAACCCCACTCCCCCGCTCTCTCCCCATAGCTCTGCAAACTTATCCCCCACAAACAATTATCTACTTCTCTCTTAAAAGTCGTTATCGAATCGGCTTCCGTTAGCCTTTCAGGCAACGCGTTCCAGATCCCAACAACTCGCTGGATAAACATTTCTCCTCACCTCCCCTCTGTTTCTTTTAACAACTATATTAAATTGGTGTTCTCGGGTTTCCGAACCGCCCACCAGTGGGAATAGTTTCTCTTTGTTCATCCTATTGAATCCGCTCATAATTTTGAAAACTTCTATTAAGTCTTCTCTGCTCCAAGGAAAATAATCCTCGCTTCTCTAGCCTCTCCTGATAACTGGAGTCCTGTAGATCAGTGGTCAGAGCTGCAAGTGAGAGACCTGAGTTCAATTCCAGGCAGAGGGCGAAACCTTGGGCAAGTTTCCATACTCCACACTCCTGATAATAATCCCTCCAAAACCAAAAACAATAATAAATTGGTCCTTTTCAATCCACGACTGTTTGTGGGACATTGCTGTGCGCAATTGGCTGCCGCGTTCGCCCACAAATATACAGTCAATTCACTTTACAGCATATTCTGTGAAGCGCTTTGAGACGTCGAGAAGACGTGAAAAGCGCTATTTCAAATGCAAGGATTATAAGTCCCTCATTCCTGGTACCATTCTGGTCAATCTCCTTTGCAGCCTCTCCAAGGCCTTGACATCCTTCCTAACGTGTGGGGCCCAGAACTGAACACAGTCTCTCGCTGAGGCCTAACCACTGTTTTATAAAAGTTTATCATAACTTCCTGACTTGTGTATTCTATGCCCCTATTTATAAAGCCTAGTAACTCATATGCTTTTTTAACAGCTTTATCTACCTGTCCGGCCTCCTTCAAAGATTTACTTATATGAATCCTCAGGTCTCTCTGTTCCTTCACACCCTTTAAGATTGTACCATCAGCTTATATTGCCTCTCCTCAATCTTCCTTCCAAAATGGTCTGTAGTTCCCAGGTTTATGCTTCTGACCCTTCTTGTACACGGGAATAACATTTGCAACCCTCTAGTCCTCTGGCACCACCCCAGTGTCCAAGTAGGATTGAAAGATTGTGGCCAGAGCCTCCGTTATTTGCACCCTGACTTCCCTCAGTAACCTGGGATGCATCCCATCCGGACCGGGTGATTTATCTACCTTAAGCACCAAAACCTTTCTAGTACCTTCTCTCAGTTTATTCTTATCCCATCCAATTTCTCTCCCCTCTCCTCCGATACTGTGGCATTGGCTGTATTCTCTTCTTTTGTGAAAACAGATGCAAAGTCCTCATTCAGTACGTCAGCCGTGCCCTCTGCCTCCACAAGAAGATTTCCTCTTTGGTCCCTAATTGGATCCACCCGACCTTTGACTAACCTTTTATTCTTCATACGCGTATAAAATACCTTAAGGCTCCCTTTTATGTTACCCGCTAACCTTTTCTCAGACAATCTCTTTGCCCCTCTTATTTCTTTTTTCAGTTCTATTTCAGTTCTGTATTTGCTTATTGTTCCCACACGTCACAGTCGTTCACGTGTAGCGTGCCCCATTGTTCCCATGACACATGCTCCAAGCCGTGTTGGTTACATGTGGGTGGCGCGGGAGGAGAAAGACAATTGTGGAGAATAAAAACATTTGATACGACTCGAGAGAGAGAGATTTTTTGTTGGTCAGCCGTGTGTCTGACACATGCGGAAACCCATCACTGTTGCTTAAGAGTCTCCAAACCAAACTGAGGATTCCCGGCCTCCGCCCTACACCTGGGAACCCCAGAGAGAGATTGTTGGAATAATCTAGAGATAACTCGAGAGAGGGAGAGAGAGAGAAAGAGAGAGGGAGAGAGAGAGAGAGAGAGAAGGAGGGAGGGAGAGAGAGAGATTTCTAGCTGACCTTTCACACACAGGTGCGGAGGGTCCAGGGCTCTAGTGGTCATCTCTACAAGACGGAGGATGGAGGCTGGGAATGGAGCGACGAGGAATCGGGTGACGCTTACAATGAACGCAAACCTCCTGCCTCGCAGAAAGCAGTGAGTGCTTTGTTCTTTAGACCAGGGATGGGTTGTGGGTGGTGGGTGTGTGTGTGTGTGTGGGCGGGTGGTTGGGGGGCGGGTGTGGTCCAAGCTTTTGGCTGCTGAGAGGGCAGATGGCAAATTTGAGAAACCTTCACCTCACCAATATGTTATCCTGATGGACCAGTCCCTCTGCCGGGCAGGGACTGAGCCCCACCGGTGACCAGCTCCTGATTGGCTCGGGGCTTGCATGTGTGTCACCTGTATTCGCTCATCGTTCAATGAAGTTGGAAAGGGTTTGTGGACCGGGCTGGGCCGGATGTGGCCCACGGGCCACCAGTTGGACCACCCTGCCTTACGTCACTCCTGGACCTGATAATTCGCCACCCTCGTTTTACACTGTGAAAGCAAGTTTTGTGTCCAGTAAAACCTTTGACCATAACTATGTCTCCTCTGCACCTTCTCCTCTGGAGAGCACAGGGTGTGTCCCGGAGACTTTATTCTGATATTTTCTGTATTTTATAGGAACAATTAGGAAGTCCGTCACATCTCAGTAACTGCGACAATTCAGTTCATCTTGTGCTTCGGTTGAGGTAAGCAACAATAACAACAACAACAATTTTCGTGTACACGGCGCCCCCCCCCCCCCCCCCCCGCCACGCAGAGTAAAGTCCTAGAGCGTCTGACAGTCGCGGAGCACGAGGCTGAGCCGGAGAGAAGGAGGAAGGCGACCACAGGCACTGGTCGAAGAGGAAGGTCTTCAGGCGCGACCTGAAGATGGGGAACGATGTGGCAAGGCTGGGGGATAAGCAGCGAATACTGTAAAATCCCCCTCCTCTAGCCTCCCCTACTCTAACCCCCTCCTACTCTAACCCCTTCTTCTCTGGCCTCCCCTACTCTAACCCCCTCCTACTCTAACCCCCTCTTCTCTGGCCTCCCCTACTCTAACCCCCTCCTACTCTAACCCCCTCTTCTCTGGCCTCCCCTACTCTAACCCCTCCTACTCTAACCCCCTCTTCTCTGGCCTCCCCTACTCTAATCTTCTCTGGCCTCCCCTACTCTAACCCCCTCCTACTCTAACCCCCTTTTCTCTGGCCTCCCCTACTCTAACCCCCTCTTCTCTAGCCTCCCCTACTCTAACCCCCTCCTACTCTAACCCCCTCTTCTCTGGCCTCCCCTACTCTAACCCCCTCCTACTCTAACCCCCTCTTCTCTGGCCTCCCCCACTCTAACCCCTTCTTCTCTAGCCTCCCCTACTCTGCACTGTTCGAGACTCTGCGATTTCTGTGTCACAACTTTTCTTGACTCTCTCTCTCTCTGACTTCCTGCTCGGTCTGTAAGGTTCCCGAAATTCCATCACTATCGACCCCGTGTTTGAAATAGGAAAACATTTCCGTATTCTAGCAATCGGCTGTGTGCAAAATTTACAAGATACAGGTTTTGCAATTAAAATCGATCCTTTATCAATGGAGGTTGATTTAGCTTGTGTGCTCCCTCTCTCTCCCCCTCCCTCTCTCTCTCTCCCTCTCTCTCTCTCCCTCCCTCCCTCTCGCTCTCTCCCCCTCCCTCTCTCTCTCTCATTGTCCTTTATTTGAGTTTGTGAGGTTAATCCGGTCCCTGTATTGCCATTTGAGATATTTACTATTTTGCTCTCTGCTCAGGAATTTAAGAAGGGAGTTGAATGATATCCGATTTGAGTTCACTCCAGGAAATGGTAAGTGGATGAGATTTTGTGTAGAGTTCGGGGGGGATGGGGGGGGTGAACCTATTTTGTCCTTATTTAATGGAGGTTCTCTGATGTAACTGATTAGAGTCCTTGGTCCCTCACAGACTCTGCTGTTGGCGTTTCACAGGAGCTCGTCTCTGTGGGTTTGGTGGATGAGTTTGACATGATTGTTGGTAAGTTTTATTGAATCTGTCTGTAATGCTTTGATGGATGGGCTTAATAGACGTACAACACTTTACAGAGAATCTTGAGAGCGAGAGAGAGAGATTGATTCTAAAGAAAGGCCAATTATTGGTGACTGAATGCAAAGGTAGTTAATAATCCTTGAATTTGATAGAGCGCCTTATCACGTCTTCAAGACGTCTCAAAGAGCTTCACAGCTTCACAGGAAACTTGCCCAAAGTTTTGCCCTGCCGGCAATCAAACCCAGGTCCTCTCGCTTACCGGGCGAACGCTCTAAGCACTCCATTGCATAGTTGCATTCTGTTTGCAAATATATTTGGTTGGATTTTCCTGACCAATTTTCTATTTCTCTTGGCTTAGTGATTGGATTTCACGTGTGTCAAATCGACCCTCTCCCAATTAATTGGCCATTCATTTTCCTTTGCTTCACCTCACTGCTGTTCGTGGGACATTGTTAGTGCAGATTAGTTGCCATGGATAACATTTCAAAGCAACTCAGTAGTTTCTCGAGCTATTTTGGTGTGATACAGCTCTATCAAGTGGAAGATTATCCCTTAATGAAGGACTCCACTCCTTCTACGCCCCTCGAGATTCACTAACTTGACAGAATTGTTGTCTGAGCAAATCTCTGTTAACCTAACTGTTTTTTTCCCCCCGTGTTGTATTTTTAGTAGCTAACAATCTGCAGAGGCTTATTGATGACCCCCATTCCAACAGGAGCCTAACGTTCAGACTGGTAAGGAGATTGGACAGAAACCTGTAATACTTGTGGAGTCCTCTAGCGTAGTGATTAGACCGCTCTCCTCACAAGCGAGAGGACCCGAGTTCGAATCCCGGGTAGGATGAACCTTAGGCAAGTTTCCTTAATCCAAACATTTGTTTACCTCGCAGTAAGTAGTAATAATAATAAATAATAATCTGATCAGTCAATCCATGACTGTTTGTGCACAATCGGCTGCTGTGTTTTGCCCACAAACATATACAGTCAATTCACTTTACAGTATATTCTGTGAAGCGCTTTGAAACGTTTGATGATGTGATAAGGCGATACATCAAATGCAAGGATTATTATTATTATTATTATTTTGAATATCCCCGCTCACCATTGACAGGGACGAGAGATTAACTGAGTTTTCAGAAGATGGGTCTTTTGTGCCTGGAGCAAAGATGGTTAGGTGAGGTGGAAGGAACTTAATAGAGGTTTTTAAACTTTGGAAAAGTTTTGATAGGGTAAATAGAGAAGGACCATTTGTACTGATCGGTGAGTCAACAACAACTTGCATTTATATAGCGCCCTTCACGTGGGGCAGCGTCTCTGAGCACTTCAGTTGTAAGAGAACTGACTGATTTAGTTATAGGAGCGCATTAATAGTCACTAAAGGATAAGAGGAAGGTTAGTTTTTTTCAATTAGCACATTTAAAGGGATTATTTATTAAAAGAGATTCAAACGCCCGTTATACGAAGGCCAACTGAACACCTAGGAATTGCACTCAAACTATCAACAAAAACAAATTACATTCGAATGGCACCTTTACCGTCAGGAGGACGTCCAAAGGCGCTGGACAGTCAGGGAACGGCACCCGGGCTGGTGGTTGGGATCAGGAGGGGTGGAGGGCGGGGTGGGGACTAGGGGGTTGGGGTAGACAATTGACCGAAGGCACAGTCGAAGAGAAAGTTTTTGAAACTCTTGAAGGAGGCAAGGGTGGGGGCGAGGCAGAGGGACTGTGGGATGGAGTTCCAGAGGGTGGGGGCAAACCAATCTATAAACCCTGCTCAGCATGCTGAAGATACACGATATGAAGCTTACGTACATAAAAAAGATTATTATTCCTATGAGTTATTATTTCCTGTCGAGAGAGACTCAGAAAGCTCACGCTCCCCTCCATCCTCCTCACAGGTCTCGGGCTGTGAAGGGCTCACTCCAGATGAAACCAAACTGATTGGATTTGCACAGCTCAGCATCAGATGACGTTACCCCTTCGCAGTACAGCACCAAAGGACGTGTCGTCCTACCAGATCCTTACCCTACCCGAACCAGAGCACTTTACGGTTTAATTATCAATGCTTTAAATTGACTTATGCATTCAAGGAGACAGGACCAGCTCAGTATTGTAGAAAGAAACTCATTTACCCGGCACTGGAACCAACTTAGATGTCTTTGAATCTCTTGGGCGGGCTCATTTTTTTCCTTGAATGGAACTTAAGAGTTTTCAAGTAGTTAAATTCAAAGTGTGAGACCTCTCTCTCTCCCTCAGGCTCCCCTCAAAAGTTTGTATCCCCTCCCTCAGGTTCACCGTTGAAGGTAAGGAATGAAAAAGAGTCCACAAAACAGAAATATTTATAGGCTAGTGTAACTTCAGTGGAGTTTACAGTGCTATTGTCACATTTCATTCCAATCTCGATCATATATTTTATATATTATCCTACTGGATGTTTAAGCACTTACCGGGAATGTTATACTTAAATTGAGCAGACGTCCAGTGCACAAATAAGTCTATTTAGTGTCATGCTGATCTGTAGTTAGAATTATAGTATTGCTTAACCATCTCTATGCAAATTACGAGGCTTCACTCACCAGTTTAGATGGGGAACCATTTAGCCAGTGTCAGAGGAGTGTCAAGAGCTGGGAGCAATACTGTTCATATATAGCACATCTCCGGTACGTAGGTAGACTGACAATGAACAGGTCGGCACCCGCAATGCTAATGGAGGGAGTCGGGGTTTTTCGTCAGGCAATCCTTACCTGAGGGTGGGATAATTCAATCTCTACCAGAAAATTTGTTGGGACAGAAAAGGCACTTGTACGCCTTCTTTTCTCCGGGCTATCCATCAGAGGTCTGAAATATTTCGTTGATTTAAGCCTCAGGTCTGTTGCTTTCAGATTGTGCGGAATTGAGGAAAGTTTAGCAGCCGGTTTCTTTTCCGAATTAAGATGGAAACAAAACTTAAGAATTGTCCAAAATTGGGCGCCGTCTTCAATTTTAAGACAATGGACCTAAAGGCTGAGATCATGAAATTTTGGGGACTTTTGTTTTCTTGCTTTGCCCAATTAGTCCTGGTTCTTCTCAGGAACTGTCTAGATTTAAGGCCATTTGCCCCAGATGTCATTCAGTAGATAGCCTGAACAATTACATGAGATTAAATTAAAAGCAGTACCGTGTAGCCTTCAGGAGCCAGATCAGGGGAACGTTGACTTGAAAACACCAGTTTTGAAACCCATTCCTCAGCGGTTTGAGTTCCATTCCTCAGTGGTCCCTGTTTCGGCATTTGTAAGGGAAAGGAAAGCATTGAGGGTGAACATTCCTTTGTGTGCCCACTCATGGGGATATTTTAGTAACTCAACCAGGGAAGTGGTGCTGTGATGTGATATGTGTGGACAGAGTGGAATTCCTTTAAACAAAGAGCCATGATAATGTGGCATATAGAGTGCCTCGGAAAGCCAAAGACAAAGTCAATTTAGGCATTCTACAGGGATTGATAGATACTTGGTAAGCAAGAATATTAATAATTAATAATAATATTAAGGAATATGTAGGAAACGGCTTTAAAATGGAATTAAAGAGTAGACATACACTTAACTTTCAGAGCAGATACAATGGGCTGAAATGGTCCACTCCTATTCCTACGAATGGTTCCTACCAACTGTTAAGTCAAGATGTACAACATGTAGATGCCATTTATTCTGAAAATCAGACGGTTTGGGTGGGGGAGGAAGGAAGGCATCAAGGTTCTGGTTGCTCGAAAACAACCCATTTGGGAACTCTTCTATTCAAGGAAGGTAGCATTTTTAAAGCCCACTTAGTGGTCTAGATGTTTGATGCTTTTTATCTTCTGTCCGATCAGAAACCGTACTCTCCCAGTCAGGATTTTCCCTGGGCAATGAGTTAGAGGCTGTATTCCATGACTGAAATGGAATATCTGGGCACATACTTATAATGCACTTGGTAATGGTACTGTACTTACTTTGGGGAAAAATTTGTCATCTGATAGATGGAACGTTCTCTCGAGTTGCCTTTTCAACAAGGAAACAGCAACTTGCATTTATATAGAACCTTTCATGCAGGGAAGCGTCTCGGCGCTGAATTCAATCGAGGCGCGATGAAAGCAGTTTCAGTCTCTGAGATAAGGATTCCTGCAGACTGTCTTCCTCTGTAATCAGCAATACCTTAGTCCTTCCTGGGACCAGGTGGAACCTTGTCCCAAGGAATTTCAGGCTTACACACCACAGTCCGGTCCACCGTTTCCTCTCACCATCGGTGTTGTTCATTTTAAGTGTTTCTCTCAGAGGAAGGGTTCTAGGTTTCACTCCTGCTCAAGTCTGCTCCGCAGCACAACTCGAGGGTAAGAACATTTTGTGCAAAGATTGCATTTGCGGAGATTTGCTCCCATTACACTGGATTTGGTAGGATCTGCATTAACAATCCAGATTCCAAGGTTATGTTACAAGATGCTTCAGTGATCACTGGAATCAACAGTTACAAACTGGACTTATGCCCCTACCGATAATGTAGCTGTCGCCACAGCGATGCTCAGAGGTGCTATCTCACTATCCTGGGATGGATGTACATTCCTGCCTCCAGAGACAACGGCACAGAGGACAACAGGGTAAATGTTCAGGAATTTCTCAGTGCAGTTGGTTCCTCTGTCAGAGGCAGAAATCACTGGGATAAACTTTATTTTTTTAGATGCCAAAAAGGAATTTAGAATCAAGATGTGCAGAATGTTATTGGTACAAATTCTCTCCCTTTACCACAGCTCATTTGATAGACGCTCCTAAGGTCCGTCAAATACATGAGTCACGCAGACCAGGACAGCTCCAGGTTCAATTCCTGGGTGGCTGTTGGATGCGTGATATAGCAGTGGTTAGACAAAAAATCAACCAGGTTCCCACTTATATAAAGGCAGTGAGTTCAAGTTTTTCCACATTCCTCTCCCAAGTTCTCACTATCACAAGAATATTTGAAGGAACCTTTTGTTTTGAAAACAGTTCCAGAGCTATGCATCATGTCTAGAGTGTGTCATAACATTAAAGGGCAAAAGAGTCCACAATTCAGGACTTTTACAAAGGAAAACACGCTTACTCCCAAACCAATGTGACAAGCTACAAATCACATCCCACATCCTCTCCGCTGCTGGACCCAATATTGCTTCGCTGATACTTGTCATTTGTAATAAACGGGGCATTAGATTCCGAGCAAGAGGTGATCACTGGACCAGGTTCAGAGGAGCGAGGAGTTAAATACACTTAAAACACGTAAAGAAAAAGTATTCGTGCCTGTTAAGTCTGGAAAGCAAATTGTTGGTGTTCTCCAGGGTGTGCACCAAAGATGCTGTACTAGAACCAGGAGTATAGCTCGTGTGGGAGTTCATTTTAAAGTCTTACGTGAAGGTTTTGCTGGTGAGCCCAGTAGGCCAGTTGCTGTCTGTACATTTGCAACTGACCTGAGATGTAAAAAGGATCAGGTGAAGAGGAATATTTTACAGTGTGTTATCATCATAGGGAGATTAATTAGCCAGCGTTTTCTGGAGTAGCAAAAAAAAATCTCCACAATGAATAAATAATAATGGTACACGATTTGGAAATCGTAAACGCACAGAAGGGAAACCAAGTCTAGTTCATAAGCCAGGAGGTGAACGTGACTGCAGAACGTGCCTTGTATTGCTGCTTCCTACACGGAATATACTTGATACTAAACGTGAATGACGATTGTATGGATTTATTGGCATACGGGTTTCCATGTATGTAAAGCTGCTAGTGCTCGCACCTTTCAGATGCTTGATGTACTGTACCCTGTCATTTCATTTAACAACTGTGACACGAATGCAGAGACTTGTAAAAGGATCCAGCATGTTCCATAACGTTTTAATTATTAGACACAGTAACATGTGCCAGGAACGTAGGCTGTTGCACTATTATAAAAAAAAGCTCTTATAACAATATTCAGAGTTGTCTAGTCTTTTTTTTAAAAAAGTTTGTGGATCAAACATCAAACTTTGACTGTAGACTTTGACGACAACAACTTGCATTTACACAGCATTTCGGAGCGCTTAAGTGCACCACATTACAAGCAATCTGAGGTTTATCCAATCCTGAAGCTGTGTGTGTGTGTGTGTGTGTGTGGTGTGTGCAGGTATTTGTGTGAGATGTTATATGTGTGTGTCAGGTGTGTTACCTTGCAATAAATCAGTGCTTTCTGCGAAGGAGAGTAAAAAAAAACAATTCTGTTTCAGTTCAAACTACTTGCTTTGTTGATTTCTTTATACTGTATATATATATATATATATATATAAAAGGTCATTTAGTGAGATACAGTTTGTACATTCTTGGATGCTCAGAAGTATGCGGTGGAGGAATTGGAAATTTGGAGCAGAGAAGCCGAAGTCAGTCCAACCATGGAACGGTAAACGCTGAACAACAACAACAAGAGGATTGCATTTATAGAGCGCATTTCACGTCGGGAGGATATCCCAAAGCGCTGGACAGTTGGGTCGGAACCCGAGCATTGGAGGGAAATGGTCAGGGTGAGGGGAGGGAAGGGAGGGAGCGAAGAGGGGGTAGAGAGTCGAGAGTGGAGCTGAAGGCTGAAGGTCAAAGAGAAAGGTCTTGAGACCGGCCTTGAAGGAGGAGAGGGAGGAAGCGGCGAAGGCACTGGGGGATGGAGTTCCAGAGCCTCGGGGCTGAGAGGCTGAAGGCCACCGATGGTAGGGCGGTTGGGGCGGGGGATGTGGAGCAGACCGGAGCCGGAGGAACGGAGGGTACGGGCAGGTAGGTAGGGGGATAGTAGGTCGGAGAGGTAGGAGGGAGCGAGGCCGTGAATGGCCTTGTAGGTGAGGATGAGGATATTGCATTCGATCCTCTGGGGGATGGGGAGCACTGGAGGCGAGCAAGGGCGAGGGCGAGGGTGAGGGCGATGTGGTGCGGGACAGTACACGAGCTGCAGAGTTCTGAATGACCTGCAGTGTGGAGGGAGCGCCTGGAAGGCCGACGAGGAGAGAGTTCCCATAGTCCAGCCTTGAGGTGATAAAGGCGTGGACCAGAGTTTCAGCAGCGTGAGGGGTGAGGTAGTGCCGTAGTCTGGCGATGTTCCGGAGGTGATGGAAGGCGGTGCCAGTTGTGGCGCGGATATGGGGGAGAAAGGACAGCTCAGGGTCGAACAGAACCCCGAGGTTCCTGACTGGCTTTGAGAGGTGGAGAGTGCAGCCTTGGATGCTGATGCTGTCAGCGCCTGAGGTGCGGAGGCGCTGACGTGAGCCAATCAGGAGGGCCTCAGTTTTGCGCACGTTGAGCTGAAGAAAGTTGTCTCTCGTCCAGGACTCGATGTCGGACAGGCAGCTGTCAGGACATCGGTGGTCGTGGAGTTGAGGGTAGAGGAGGAAAGGTAGAGTTGGGTGTCATCCGCATACATGTGGAAGTTAACCCCATGTCTGCGGATGATGTCACCACAGGGGGAGCATATAGAGGGTGAAGAGGAGGGGACCGAGGACAGAGCCCTGAGGGACACCGCACGAGACAGTGCGGGGGGTGGAGGAAAAGCCGTTGTGGAAACAAAATGAAGACGGTGGGAGAGGTACGACCTAAACCACTCAAGGACAGGGCCTTGAAGGTTGAGGTGGGAGGACAAGCGGTGGAGGAGGATAGAGTGGTCGACCGTATCGAATGCTGCCGATAGGTCGAGGAGGACGAGGAGGCAGAGGGAGCCCTGGTCACAGATGGTCAGGATGTCATTGGTGACCTTGACCAGGGCAGTTTCTGTGCTATGGGCAGCACGGAAACCCGACTGAAGGGGTTCGAATAGTGAATGGGTGGAGAGGAAAGAGCGCAGCTGGGAGGCGACAACTCTTTCGAGGACCTTGGACAGGAAGGGGAGGTTGGAGATGGGCCGGTAGCTTGATAGCTGCGACGCATCAAGGGAGGGTTTTTTCAGTGTGGGAGTGATGGTGGCAGTTTTTAGGGGAATGGGAACAGAGCCAGAGGAGAGGGACAGGTTAATGATGTCTGTGAGGTGGGGCAAGGAGGTGGAGCTGGGAGATAAGGAGTGGAGTGGGGATGGGGTCAAGGGAGCAGGTGGTGGGTTTCAGGGACAGGATGAGTTTGGTGACAGAGGGTGGGGAAACGGGTACGAAGGTGTGTAGGGGAGGATGGGTAGGAGTCGGAGTGTGGGAGGGAAGGGGTGGGGGTGGGTGGAAGTTGGAGGGGAAGTGACCGCGGAGCGGATTCCCTTGATTTTGGATTCAAGGAAATCCAGCATCTCCTCGCAGTGAAGGTTGGAGGAGATGACCTGCGCGGGGTGGCGGGGGGACGGAGGAGTCGGGATGTGGTAGAGAACAGAAGCCTGGGGTTGTTCTACGCCTCCAGGATTATCCTGGAGTAGAAGGACGACTTGGCCGAGGCTAGAGTCGAGCGGTAGATTTTGAGGAGGTCCAGCCAGATTTGCCGGTGGACCGTTAGGCCAGATTTGAGACCGGTGCGTTCAGCGGCCCCCATCTAGTTCTTCAGTGAGCGTTGGGTGGTGAACCAGGGGGAGGAGCGAGAGTAAGAGACAGTACGGGAGGTGATGGGGGCAAGAGTGTCGAGTGTGGAGGAGAGGGTGTTGTGGAGGAGGGTGAGTGCAGAAGAGGGGTCAGTGAGGGATGAAGGCCAGAGGGAGAGGAGTTCAGAGGACTCCAAGGCAGTGGTTAGGGATTGTGGGGATAACTTCTTCCAGGGGCGGTAGAAGATGGTGGTGGGTCTGGTGGAGGTGGGGATGAGGTGGAGGAGATGAAGTGGTGATCGGAGACGGCCTTGTCGGTAATGGTGACATCCGAGACACTGAAGCCCCGGGTGATCACCAAATCGAGTGGGTGGCCGTGAATGTGAGTGGCGGAGTTGATGTGGAGTGAGAGGTTGAGCGAGGAGAGGAGGGAGAAGTCCGAGGAGGTGGAGCAGGAGGGGGTGAAGTGCAGGTTGAAGTCGTCCAGGATGATGAGGCGATCAGAGCAGAGGCAGAGAGATGTTAGTAGGGTAGAAATATCGGAGATGAAGGTGGGAGAGGTTTTAGGGGGCCGGTAGAGGAGGAGGATTTTGAGTGAGAGATGGGAGGGGTGGGAGAGGGTGAGGTGTTCAAAAGAGGGGAAAGAGCCAGAGGAGTAGGGGGATAGGGCAAGTGGTGTCCTTGAGATAAGGGCTACACCACCGCCACGGCGGTTGGGGCGAGGGATGTGGTGGGAGGTGTAGCCGGGTGGTGTGGCCTCCGTGAGGGGGAAGGTTTCCGTTAAGGCCATGATGTCAACGCTCTCATCAAGGATGAGATCGTTGATGACCGGGACCTTGTTACAGAGGGAGCGGACGTTTTGTAGTCCGATGTGGAGGGAGCGGTTGACAGAAGGGTGTGTGGGGAGGGAGGGGGGTCCAGATTGTGAGGCAGGAGTGGGGGGGATGGGGATGAGAGGTTGGCTCCCTGGGTCTGTGTCCGGGGTGGCTGGCGAGTGTGGTGGGGAATGGGGCAGTCGGTGTGGCTGCTGCTGGACAGCCAACGCCGAGTGCCACGGTGAGCCCGGCGGAGGATTCCCAGGCTGGAACAGGGAGGTTGTGGGGGGTCAAGTGGGGATAGAAGGCGAGGGGGACGGAGAGATGCAGAGGGGGGAGGAGGCTCGGGTCAGAGCGGCAGCCATAATGTGCATGCGAGGACCAGGAGCGAGCGGTCAGGTGGACGACATTAGCCCACAGGCTGGGGCAGCCAACCCAACAGGATCATGGTGGTCCCTGCTGCGAGCCCTGGGGTTATATTGACAATGAACAGCTCATTGTCAATATAAGCAAATGCAGATTTTCTTCAATTGCCCTGAAGCCAGGACACTAAACCAGTTTGGGGAATTGACTGTATATTTTGCCCACAAAATAAACAGTCAATTCACTTTGTAGTATATTCTGTGAAGCGCTTTTTGAAACGTCTCAACATGATAAGGCACTATATCAAATGCAAGGATTATTATGATTAAGAAGAGTGACATCTAAAGTTCCTCCTCGTCAGACTCAACGGTGAAAAAATTGCCACATGCAAGATCTGCTCAGTGGGGTGTATTTGAGAGTAGATTACCCAGCACTGCACGGCACTGCAGCTAACTGAACCTCAGCCTTATTCTATGGCATCAATGGGTGCGAAACGGAAACTCTTTTTCCGCAAGCAAAAGTGCACGAGAAAGACATGTTTGAAGTAAATGATTCTGAACAGTTTATTAATTGTTACATGCTGAACATAAAAGAAACACGACACATTGGATAAACAGCGGAGGCAGGAAGTGGGGTGAATGAAGTTTAAAAGTGCTAAAAAGCAGAGCAACCGTCCTCTCAATCAGGAACCCAGATATCGGAGACGCAGTTTAAATGGCAATGTAATGGTGGGTGTATTACAGCTACTGAGGGGGGCCCAGCAAACACAACCAAGAAGATAAATGAAGATACAATGAACCATGATATGTTCATGCAACATAGTTGAGAACTGTCTCTTAACTGATGGGGTAGTTAGCAAACACCTTCACCTAACCTAGATTTTAATGGTACATATTATCAGAAAGCAGTTTTAACAGTGTTTAATAGTGTTCTTGTAAAGAAATATTTGAGATGCCTTGATTTATAAAGATTATATTGAGATTTTCAGCAGCATTCTTGTCCCCACCTTTGTGCTGTCAGTATGTAAAAACATTTATATACCAAATCATACTGGATAGGTACAAGAGATTCTAAAAACAGGGCAACTCAGAATTAAACTTTAGAATTAAGCTTAAGAATTTACGATGTTTAAAGACTAGAGTCATGGTTATGCCCATAAAACAGCTGTTAAAATGTTTTTTTTAATTCCAAAGCCTCATTTTTATCTGCACAATTCAGACCACAATCACAGAAAGAAATGGGGCGTGCGGTCTTAATGTGACAACTTACAGAAGCTTGACAATGCATGATAAAACACATCGACTCCTCTCCAATTGGCCCAACGGTTTTTGACCACAAGACAGGAAATTTCACGGCGGAAGAAGTTTCTTCTGTTACTGAACACTTCAAAGGCTGCCCTAACTTGTGCATCCGGGTGTGACTGCCGGCTTCATCAACAGGTAGAGGGAGATACACTGTGACTGAAGCCAGATTGGGTCCTGTATGTGTCTGTCCACACTGCCCTCACTGAACAGAGCATATTAATTACATTATTCTCTTATTTCAGGGAAACACGGGGACTTCATCTGCCTCCAAACATTACACCTTTTTTGTTCTTTTATAAAAGATCCAATTTTGATTATCCTCGATCATTCACTGACGCACCAATTACTCAAGTCATTTTCTTGGCCCCGGTTCAATACATTATTGTTATGATCAACGTCAGGATGTCTGTGCGGGGACGCTATTTAAAACAAAGTGCACTAAAATGCGATGTGCAACAGGGCTGTGAAACTTGAAAATTAAAACACTCATTTCAATATTCTTTTAAAACTTGTACACAATTTTGTAATCGTTCTATGATTTTTCGAATGATTTTCCCCACAAGCACCACACCGTTCTCTGCTCGTGTGGTTGGTGAATAAATAGTCAGGGCAGGGGGCTTCAAAAGAAGGGCGGTGGGGGGTGACGTGTTCCGTGCTGGTCTTCAAGTGCTGGTCAAGGTGGCCTTTACTTTCCACCAGTTGGCCGAAGCACAAACAGGAAACTTCCCACACAAAACACCACAAACTCAAAAAGAAAAAACACATCCTTCCACTCTGAAAAGGGTATGTTGTCTGTGTGCACAGGAAGCCGCCATGTTCAGCAACATGTTCATTCACAAAAGGATTCCACATCCACAGCTTGGCAACACCGTGAATCAAACGAAAGACACTGGGCCTGACAAGGATTTGAAGCTTACAACTCTGGTGAACAAAGCTTTCTGCACTTCAATTGGTCTACAACAGTAAAAGTCTGTACCCTAATTGATAAAACTGATTACAGTCACAAGCCTATCCCCAATCTTCCAATAAATCTTTTTTTTAAATCAATAGAGGCATATAGAATAAACCATCATTTAAATCAGAAAGTTGTGAGCCGCAAAAGATCTATCAATATGAACAAAAAGGTAAGTCAAAATGTGGTGGTTAATCATCGGCTCCACCTAATCTTCCTCTTCGTAATACCTATTCCTCTTGATCTGGTCTTCAACTGATAGTTCCTCGGTTTCTTCTCCATCCCAAAACCCAACATCTTCGGATTTCTTGTCACAGTGGGTTATTAGCTCATCCGAGGTAAGGATTTCATCCGAACTTTGCAACTTGGACAGCTTTTGTTCATAGTCCTGCTCCTCAGGCTCCTCAGAGCTGGGTTTTGTGGCCTCTTCATCCTCGCTGAATGCCACCTCCTCTGTCTCGTTGTCTGAAAGGAGTTGTCCATTGACACTTCCCACGTCGACCACCTCTTCCACAACAGAGTCTTCCTTTTCATCCTCGGGCTCAGTTGTCACCGATTGCTCAGCACCATTGCCTACACTGGATTTTCTTTCACTCATTTCCTCCTGCTTCTTGGGTTCCTCCTGCCTCTTGGGCTCCTCCTGCCCCTTGGGCTCCTCCTGCCCCTTGGGCTCCTCCTGCCCCTTGGGCTCCTCCTGCCCCTTGGGCTCCTCCTGCCCCTTGGGCTCCTCGTCCTTCACCTGCTCTTTAGCAGTGACGACGTCATTCACTGCGGTGTGGGCAGGTGGCTGATTCTTACCCTGGTCCTTTGTGGCAATGGGTTTCATCTGCTCTGCAACAGTGAATGGTCTACACCGCTCCTTGAGGGAAGCACTTCTTCTGAGCCTTGATGTACCACTGAATTCCGGGCTCCTCTTGCAGGCTTGCTGTTGGGTGTCATCCTCTGGAGGCCACTTTGGTTTGCTGACTTTGACACTCTCTTCAGCAGAAAGTCCTCCTTTGCTGCCTGCATCCGATGGAGGTGGCCAAGCGATTTTTAACCTCCTAGTTTCCACAGGTTTTTCTGGCTTTTCTGGTGAAGAAATGGAACCCAAGGCCTCCATGCTGGCTGCCAAGACACCTACCTTGAGTATAGAGAGCTCATCCACAGAAGAGTTGAGCTCTTTGTCAGTAGAATTCTCAGCTTTGGTCATAGAATTATCCATCATATCTTCACTCTTGCTCTCCGCTCCGTCATTTTCGTTTTTGGGCACCCACAGCTCCTTATGCGGCTTGTGGCCAAATCCCTCATCGTAATTACCTTTGGATTTGAAGAGTTGGCTGAAATGTGGCTTGCAGTACACATTGCCATGTAGAGATGCATAATTTCCAATGCTAAGCAAAAAAGAAAGTCAAACATTAGATTTGTGGATTCTTAAGATGTGATGATGCAGGAAGTTACTTTGTTATCTCTTACTCAACAAATAAGTCAGTCCCTTCTCTCTGTAATATGAGGCAAACTAGATACATCAAAACTAAAGGCCCAAAATTCCACCCAGCCGCATCCTAAAGCAATAAGGTCACACAGCATTGTGGGAAACTACCAAATTCAGGCATTATTTGGACGTCAATTTTCTGCAGTCCTTGTATGGTAAGACTACATGGAATTTCAGGCCTCAACATTACGACAAAAAAGCCCAGTTCACTTGTGTGTCAGCCCGGCGCAGTGGTAGGGCTCTCGCCTTTGAGTCGAAGGTTGTGGGTTCAAGCCCCACGTCGGGATTTGGATTCACATAGTCTAAGTTGATGCGCCCATGAAACATGACTGTTTGTGGGACACTACTGTGACAATTCACTGCCTGCATTTCGCCCACAAAATACAGCCACTCCACCTTAACAACAACAACAATTTGGGTTTATAAAGCGCCCTCCCTTCCAGCCTGCGTCTCAAGAGTGCTTCACAGTAACGAATCCCCGGACCGAGCCAGGGGAAGGGGGAGCAAGGTACCAAAAGGCGCGGTCGAAAAGAACAATCTTCAGCAGAGACCTGAACATAGGAAGAGAGGGAGCGAGACGAAGGGAGTGAGGAAGGCAGTTCCAGAGCCTTGGGGAGTAGTGGCTGAAGGCACAGCCGCCGAGGGTGGAGTGGAGGACTCGGGGGACAAGGAGGAGGCCAGACCCGGAGGAACAAAGGCAACGGGTACTGTTTTGAGGAGAGAGGTCAGAGAGGTCGGGGGGTGCAGAGGAGTGGAGGGATTTGAAGACAAGGGTGAGGATCTTGAAGTTGATCCTCTCTGGGATAGGCAGCCAGCGCAGTCTGGCCAGGACTGGGGGGGGATCGGGGAGCGGAGTTTGGTGCGCGTGAGAATGTGGGCGGCAGAGTTTTGAATAATCTGGATTTTATGGATGGTAGTGGAGGGGAGGCCGGCGAGAAGGGCGTTAGAATAGTCCAGCCGAGAGATGACAAAGGCATGGACCAGGGTTTCACCAGATTTCAGAGAGAGAGAGAGAGATTACAGTAGCTTCCTCACCTGAGTTTGTTGTTACAGTGGTGGCAACGGAAACAGCTCTTATGAAATATCTGTTTGTTTGCGACCAGACGCTCCATTGGATACACAGTCTTTTGGCAGGTATCACATAGCTCTCGAGCGGGAGGTTTAAATTTCTGAGGGGAAAAAAAAATCAATAGGTTTATTTGTTAAAGAAACAACGATGAAGTTTATTCTTGAAATGTGACAAACATACAAAAACTAAACATGCCTTTGTTAGCTCAGCCCAGTAAATACTGCAAAAACTGGGAAATGATCAAATTCAACAATTTGTAAAGTGTTTTATTGCAAGCATAGTGCGAGGGAAGTGAAGTGTCACTATCTCCAGATGTTTCAGTTGTCTCGCCATTTAATTCAGCTACTTCATATCACTTGTGCTCAATATCTCTCTCTCCCTCTCTCCCTCCTCCACATGAGCAAGCCATGTGATATTCCAAATAAATCAAACACAAAAAATGCAACAATCAGGAATCTTTCTTACTAGATACTTATATACATATATTTAAAACAAGGGCATCAGTTGCGAGACTCTTTGAAGCTGACTGAAATAACCACAACACCAGGTGCAATACCGACCTCCAGTCAGTCAGCCTCTTCCCAGACAGATTACATCATATTCATAATTAATGGCTCGACTCTCCAGTTCAATGATATCAACGTTATAACAGCAAAATATGATTTTAGGATTTGATTTTACATTAAGTGCATCAAACCACACTAGCTTTACGTGGCCCAGCACCTGGGTTTTCCTTTGTCCAGTGTAATATTCAGCGTTGAGGTGTGACAGGACTTCTATTCCCTGTGACATTTCTGATCTCAGTGGTACAGAGAGCACAATCAGGGGAAGCCTGCTCCTGGGCACCATCCCGTGGCTAGTTAAGGAATGTCACCAATGTTCCTTCAACCCTCACCCCACCCACCGGTCATACTTGGGAACAATGCGTCGATTTCTGGAAGAAATTATTAATTTTTTAATATGGGGAGAGAGGGGCAAAAAAAGTGAAAAAAATTAAACACTTGACAACTGTAAAGGTGGGAACAGCATTTTCTGCTGTTAGAAGAACCCACTACATAACTGAGGGTTCTACGCAACTGAGGGCCTCTAGTGACAGCAAAATGGTCTGCAAAATTATTATAATAATCCTGGCATTTGATACAGCGCCTTTGTCACGTCTTTGAGACGTCTCAAAGCGCTTCACAGGAACGTGAATTGACTGTATATTTTGTGAACCAAACGCAGCAGCCAATTGCGCACAGTGGTGTCCCACAAACAGTCGTGGATTCAGTGGCCATTATTATTATAATTATTGTTTAACAATTTTTTTTAAAAAAAAGGGATTACCATCCCTGGAAAAACAATCTGCCAATCGACCAACAACCGGGTTTTTACTAATAGCCTAACACAACGCTCGCCTTGAGATTAGCAACTGCACTGGTAAAGTCTCAATTGACAGCACTGTTGTCAGCACATGGTGATTCAATGGGGGGACGGTGCCGTAAGTGAGTCTAAGATTTATATTTCAAATGCTCTTTTGAAACCATTTATACATTTTATAAAATTAATAACCCTTGCACTTGACATAGCACCTTATCACGTCATTGAGACGTCTCAAAGCGTTTCACAGAATATACTGAAAAGTGAATTGACTGTATATTTTATGGGCAAAAATATACTAAACATGCCTAAATACGTGCTTGTTCAAATGTAAATAGATTCATCTTGAAGCACGTTTTCGCTGCTAATTGTTTTTCGTTAACCTGAACACAACTGACTTTGAATAAAATATAGAGCAAAGAGAACCTCACATCAGAGAGAGAGAAGAATGCAGAGGGAGGAAAGGAATACTTCAGGAACAGGAAGTACAAGCTGAAAAATAGGCAAAGAAACAGAAGTAAGCAGCAGTATACTAAACAGCAACAGGACGTTACAAAGACTACGCATTGCGTTTTATACTGAGGTTTTACAGTGAAGCAGAATAGACAAGAAAACTGGCCTTAAATCACTGGCTCCACTGTGTTATGTCAATTAAGGCTGGAAAAAAAATTCCTGCTCTGTGCCCTTCCAATATTATGTGTTTGACTCTGTTACGGTTATTTCACTGGCTCTTTAATAAGGCTGGAAATTCGAAGTTCCCAAGTTGCCTGAGGGACAGCTTAAGACTTTGAGCCAACCTTGGAGTGAAAAGTAAATTGGAGAACAATTCAGAAGACTACACAAGAATAACCTCTTTGTATCAAACAATCAGCTTTATGGTGTAGTTATATTTGCAATTAATAAAATCTTATTAGATCTAAAAGTCTCAAAGCACTCAGTCACACTAAAATGTATTTAGTATATACTAATACATGTATTTGATCTAGAACCTGGACAACAAAATGTCTCAAAGGGTTTCACGGATAAACTCTGTCAAGTGTACTGACTATTCATAGACAAATGTGGTCTCTATTTCTGCCCACAAGGTCCCAGAAACAGACGTGAAGTGAATGACCAATTTAGTTGGAGGATTGTTAGGCAGGACACCAGGGGAAATTCCCTTTTCTATTCCAACAGTCTCATGGGAACATTAGCGTCCACCTGAACAGGCAGATGCTGCTGAGCCAAACACAGCAGCTAATCTGCACCAGTAAAGTCCTCACAAACAACAATGTTGAGCTTCACACACATCAAACCAGCCACTGGCTGTCGAGCGTACCTTGATATTTTTGGGTGTAACGCTTTGGGTTTCAGTGGGTGACCTCTGACCTTGGCCTGAAAGCCTCTGAGTCTCCTCTTCATTGTCTGCTTTCACTGTTCGTATCAAAAAGAAAATCACAATAGCAACTCGCCTGACGGACGTTAAAGCAGCAACCCGCCAGAGTTTTCCTTTTTAATAATAATAATCTTCCTTGGATTTGATAGAGACTCATCACATCTTCGAGACGTTTGAAGCGCTCTGGGACTCTACCCCGCATGAAGGACGCTATATAAATGCAAGTTATGGTCTGAACGCACTTCACGGAATATACTGTAAAGTGAATTGACTGTATATTTTGTGGGCGAAATGAGGCAGCCAATTGCGCTCAGCAGCGTCCCACAAACAGTCATGGATTGAGTTACCGAATGATTTTTAAAAAAAATAACAATCCTTGCATTTTAACGTTTAAGCTCAGGTTTCTTTCCAACACTGAATGTCAATGGCCTAGGAGCAGGTTGCCTGGTGAAAAACATTAACTAAATAAAAATTTACAAGATCAAACGAACAGGCTCACCTTTGTCATCAGCTGGTTTCTCAGAGATGAAACTTTTCTGTGAGCTTGGAATGCCCTCGACCACATAGGCCTAAAGAACAAATGAATGGAACAAACTTGAAATTAAATTAATAATAATAATCCTTGCAATTGATATAGCGCCTTATCACGTCTTCTAGCCATCTCAAAGGTCTTCACAGAATGTAAAGTGTAGTGACTGTATGTATTGTGTGCAAATTGCGGCAGCCAATTGCGCACAGCAGTGTCCCACAAACAGTTGTGGATTAAGTGACCAAATTATTATTTTTTAAGGTACTATTACCACCGGAAATGCAATCCGCCAATTGACTAACAAGCAGGTTTCTATTTACTGCTAGATAAACAGAGGCATGTGGAGTAAGGAAACTTGTCCAATATTTTGCCCTGCCGGGTCCCAGGTCTTCTGGCTTGTTAGGCGAGTGCTCTCATCACTGAGCTACAGGACCCCACATGTACTGAAAATCTCTGGATTAAACTACTGGAGGGGAACACAAGATTCCTCTAAAGCTTACTCATATGCCAAGCACTGAGTTCGGAGGTGAAAGCTGCTTAACCAGATTCTGCCTTAACCGCAGTCGACACGTGACCGGGCAGGGTGGGTGGGTGGGGGGCAACAAACTAAACCAAAAGTGAAATAATGAGCCACACTTATTTGAAATGGACAAAAGAAAGTGAATTCTTCCTGGTGACTTTGTAGCAATTATTTTTGCGGGAAAGAGAAGAAACAAAGTTAGAATGAAACCAAACTGGGAACAAAGATGTCTTGCTGTGGGAATCGGCTCAGAGATTTACTGTATCCCACCCACACAATTGCCTCAAGCACTAGCACAGATGACGAGGGGGCCCTTTGCGGTTTCTACCCCAAGGTAAATGAAAGTTCAGCCAGTTTTGGAAGCAGAAACATTACACCCCAGGTCAGGCTACACCGACCAGCACAAAGAGAACCAGATTAATGTTTGATGCCACGCAATGCCGGCAAGTGCAAGTGTACTCTTACAGTCGCACGGAGTGAACATTGGCTCCCCCCACAACCCACCTCTGCTCATGTACATTCCACAACTCTGAGCGAGAGGAGCTGCAGATCCACGTAACTGGTAACAGATCATTTCACCCTCACTCGCTCCTGGGTTTCAAGGTCGTGCTACAGCTCATCATCCAAGATCTTAAACGTGAGACCAAATTAAGACCTTTGCATTGTTTTCAAATGCGAATGAGGCTGCGTTCAGTTTTAATTACTGACTGCTTTTTAAACTCAGAATTGAATTGAAATCTGCAGTCTCTCTCTCAGCTGGGATAGCAGTTGGGGAAATATAACTGTCCTGACAAATTGAAACTGGACCATGGATTCCATTTTTACTTACCTTCTCGGATCTGGTTTCCCTGGTTTCCCACTGTTCTTTGGTGCTTGTTATGCCTCCAGGTAGCATCTCCCCCTCCACACTCTAAGCGACACATACAGCTTGTCAGCCACAGGCACTATTCCCATACTTTACATTTAGAAATGTCAACATCCTCACACTCATCTTCAAATCCATTCACTCTCTTGCACTTCCCTACATCTCCGACCTCCTCACTCCCCAATCCACTACCCGACGTCTCCGCTCGACCGTCACCAGCCTCCTGCTCACCCTCCACCCCCCCATCAGAGGCCGCTACGCCACAATACTCTGGAACACTCTCCATCAACACGCCTTGCTTCCCCTCACTCTCCTTTTTCAAGTCCTGCCTGAAAACCTTCCTCTTCGACCACCTCCCCCCCACCCCGGCTCGGAGTCAGGCTCCGCCACTGTTAAGTGCTCTGAGACGCTACCCTGCGTGGAGGGTGCGATACAAGTGCAAATTGTTGTTGCTGTAGAAATGAATATTACAAAGGTAATTACAGCACAGAGAGGTTTGGTTCGTAGTGTTCAGGCTGTGTCAAAACCCTCCAAATTGCATGACTAAACCAGAGAGGTTAATCAAATCGGATTCCTTCTTGCTCTGAACAACTGAATCCCACATCACAAGTTTGGTTGTCAAGACAATATAACGTGTTGTTGGGCGGGCGGTGCATTTAACCTCCAGGCTATCATCAGAGTTTTTTTTTAAAAATGCAAACAATTTTTTTCTGAAGGTCCTCACCTCGTGGGCTTGTGCGATGGTCTCCTTCCGTGACACAGCAGCCTGATACAGTGCCATTCTGTCTTTCAGCGAATTTGTCTCCTGCAGGTCTGCCAGCTCAGATTCAAGCTTTCGTTCAACTTTATCAGGGCTCGAGGCAGGCAAGGCAGAGTCTGTGGGAGGGAGGTGTGAAAAATGTTAGGTCCAATCTTAATGAATGCATCTCCACATCAAAAGCAGACATACACTCTTTAAAAATGTTAACACACTTTATCCTTTAATTCACTGTATATTTCCCACCCGTGTCAAAAACTACATCTGTGTCCAAATCAGCCAGGGAGAAATGAGCCCACACCTGGCAATAATTACAGTCTACATCATATTAGTCAGACGGCAAAGTAACCAGGATAATCTGTTAGTACAGCTGGTCAAATTCATTTTTCATTTCCATTCATACTTGCCTTTGATTGGCAAAGAAAATTGAAGTACAAGTTTCAAATCAAAACAAGACAAAACTCTTGTCCATCTCCTTCCCCCTCAACGAGAACAATCATACTTCAGCTGCTGAAGTTCCTGGCATGAGCGCAAACTCAACTGCTGGCAATACTCAGCTTTGGCCGCTGATTGTAAATCTACTCTAACATCCTGGTGCTTGGTTGATGAGCTGTAACTTAGTCACACGTCAAAAGCTAGAAAATCCCAGTTCTTCTGAGTTAATTAATCACAGCCAGGACAGAGACATAGATATTACAGTTGTCTGCTGTTTCCTCAGTGAGGGGAAGGGATTATACTTGGCTACGATTGTTGGCCAGGACACCTAGAAAAACTCGCTTCTTCTTTCAATGAATGCCATTAGATCTGTAACAACCACCTGAACATGGGACCTCAGTTCAATGTCTCATCCAAACAACAACAAAACTAAATTTGCATAGTGCCTTTCATGTCGGGAGGATGTCCCAAGGTGCTGGACAATCAGGGTTTCGGACCCGAGCTGAGGGTTGGGAATGCGGAGGGTGTAGGATGGGGGGGGGGGGAGGGGGGAGAAGGAGGGTGCCTAAAGGCACGGTCGAAAAGTAGTCTTGAGATGGGACCTGAAGGAGGCAAGGGAGGGGGCGAGGCGGAGGGACTGCGGGATGGAGTTCCAGAGGGTGGGGGCAGATTGGCTGAAGGCCCGCCCGCCAATGGTGGGTCAGACGAGGCTGGCGATGTGAAGAAGGTCGGAGCCTGCTGAGCGGAAGGAGTGGGCAGGTTGGTAGGAGGTTAGGAGATCGCAGAGGTAGGGGGGAGCAAGGCCATGGAGAACTTTGAAAGTGAGCCCTCACATCTTTAAAGTGAAATATACTTTAAAGTGAATTGACTGTATATTTTGTGGGTGAAACACGGCAGCCAAAGGATGGCATCTCACTAACTGGAGCTCAAATTATTCATTTTAAAAAAGATGCACGGGCGAGTTGAAACAATGCTCAAGATAAATTACTGATCTACACAGCAAAATCATTTCAGATCATTTGCACCAGCACCGAGGTCAGACACTGCAAACAGTGAATGTGTTTTAAGAACAGTAAGAAATTTCTGAATAAATGAAAGTGAACAGAGTTTGGCAGCGACACAGAGAAACAGCACAATTCATTTGCATGAAGAATCCATTAATTTGCAGTATTCTTTGATATCATAGAAACTCGATTCTTTTCACAAGACTTTCGCCCACTAAATATATAGCCAATTCACTTTACAGAATATTCTGTGAAGCTTTTTAAGACCTATCAAAGATGTGATAAGGCTCTACATCAAATGCAAGGATTATGGTTTTCTGTCCTTCTCTGTGGACACATTATTCTCCAATAGAGGGCAGCAATCTCCTCCCTATTCCAGTTACACGTACAGTGAGCTGTAGTGGCTTTAGATGCCCACTGCTCACCCTTCTCCCTTTGGAGAAGCCTTTATCTGTTTGATATCTGCGCTCTTGGCAGAGATCAGATTGTCAATCCCCATAACTCTACCCCACTACCCCTCTGAATCCAGGAGCTCCGGGTTCGATTGCAATTTTCCTTACCTCTCCCCCAACTGCAATCAATTAACAGTGCAGATTGGAACCAAACCCACAACATATTCAGCACTACACTGCAGTGCCTTTACCCACATCACCATTGGAAGCAGCTTACAAAATAGCACTTTCAGCCAAGAACACTCATTGTGTCTGTGGCGTGCAAGCTCCCTACTGGAGCTATCTATTTATTCTGATCTCATTATCCTTGCTCTTCCCATACCTGTTGATATCTTTATTCTTTGAGTGTTTACCCAATTTTCTTAAATGATGTCATTGACTTGGCTTCAATAGCCACTTGCGGTCAGAGTTGGACTCAGTCTTATTAAAGCTGACATCATGCTGTTATGACTCAGTCTTTCGAATGCAGGGAGAACAATCCCGGGGCTCCGAGGCCCCCTTCCAAAAGAGCAAATTGAATGACAACTGAGTAGTTTGGGTCATTGACCACCGTCAAGTTTCATTGTGATCAAGGAGGCAGAAGGCAGGCTGCTGGTCCTAGGACAAAACCCAGTCAGAAGGCAGGATTACGCCTGCCTGTGTGATAGAAATGTCTAACTCACTGGATTACATCCCCCTCACTGTGTACTGCAGCCCTGCCTTTTTTTGGAACCAATCCCTCAAAACACTGCAGTTGCAAGGTCATGAATTTTGGCATGTACATGAACACTTAAGTATACATCCATCAGCTACTGAGCACAGTATATTTCTCTCTCTGTCCTGAAACTATGAAAGATTAAATATTTCTAGTTCTTACAATACTGATACTTACACACAAACCACATAAAAGGAAGGCCATCCTAGAATTACCCTTCACAGTGGCGGAATCTGAAATCTTGTGCTTTCCTTTTCTAAATCAGTTGATTGAACCCTTCGAGAGCTTTCAAACCTCCTCCCAAGATGTGAAACGTACACGTGAAACGTGCAATATAATTGTAAATTGTCTTGCATTATTTTGTGCTAAGCAGAAGTTCACAGATGAGGTGGTATCGCACAAGGTACCAGCTGCAACAGACAGGTTTGGAGGCTAACCTACCAATTGCATTTAGAAATTTCGTAATAATCAAATAGTGCAAGTATGAACCTCTACAGACAGAGCTGCTTTCGAGTCCCTGTCTATCTTCTAGAGAAAATCCACAAGGATTGGTGAAGTGCAAAGCACATGGTTGTTTTATGCGGGCAGCCTGCACACCAAGCCTACACGTGGCTAGTGAAACAATGCCGACAGCAACTCTTGAAGCAGTGTGAAGCATTACCTCATTACCTTTGGAGATCAAGAGAAAAAGAAACACCTTCATAGGTGGTAGTCAGGGTGGTGGGGGGAGAGAGAAGAGAGGAGGAGGAGGGGGTAAGGAGGTGCAGTCATAGTAGTGTTACACAGTAAATCAACATAGAATAGCATTAACGAGTAATTAAATCCAAAATGTTTAAACAAATTGTACTCTTAAAGCCCGAAGAGTCTCAAAGTTCTATCCGTGAAGTTTTCAGCTATAGCAGGAGCACAGTTTAACAGACCATTGCTCATTTGCCTACCTCAGTTCTTAGGAACTACTATACAAAGTTACTTATTAAAGGATCACTGGAAGCAGCTGATTAAATTTCATCTAATTTCCATCTAAGCTAAACACGTAGCCCTGGTTTAATCATGCAAAGGGAAGAAATACTCAGTGACAAACACTAGGCAACATGTAGTCAGAATCCAAACTGACGTTTTGTTCACAAAATATAGTCAAATCACTTTACAGTATATTCTGTGAAGCGCTTTGAGACGTCTCAAAGACATAAGGCGCTATATCAAATGCAAGGATTATTATTATTAAGCTGTATGTTTCCAAACTCCTCACAGTTCATATAGTAAGCAGTAGATTCTTACCAGAATCATCCAGTTTCAAAGTACCAAGGCTTCCCTCTCCTGCTTTGTTCTCAGTGCCTTCAGCCAGACAGCTGTCTTCCGCCGTCCTATCTAGCCACTTCTTAGAAACGTCAGACTTGAGGTGGTGATCCCTGGTAGCCTACAAGCAGAAATAACGCACAGCACAAGTTCAGCCTGAACATTCAATCTGGAAGCAAGTAATTCTTCAGGATGTGGCTCGTTCCGTGTTCAAATCATTAATGCAAAAAGGATAGTGCGTTACTAGGCTGTCAATTACAGCTCAAAGCAATCAACTTCCTCATTACGTTGCCTTTTGTTGAAGGAAGATCACACCTATTTAATCAAATCGTCTTTGTCCATTTAAAATGGATGTGATTTGTATAGTGCTTGGGCTCAGACACACACCAGACTTAATTAATTCCTAAATCCCTATATGGTGAGGAGGGGGGGATGTAGAGACAATGAAGTGGATGTTCCAGCCCTGTCTGTCCTAGGTTCAGGCCCATATGATCACATCATAAGCCTGCTAATGAGAGCACTCTATTGCCATCTGGATTAACAGTCTTGTGCACAGAGGTCCATATAAGCAAATGGGTTCAAAGCCCTTGTGGCATTTCTGGACAAGACTGATCCCATCTGGGGTGAGCACAGGGCCCCTTTAATCCCGTTTCCAGATGGCTGAGAAGTGACTGCTACCTATGTACATTTGCAATTCAATATGGTTTGAGTAATTCAATTATCTAGATGTTGCCTGAAGTCTAACAGTTTTTTTATAAAAAAACATGGTGATTTTGCTTAAATATGTCTTTCAACAAAAGATACCTGGATCTGTACTGTACCAATTTGGCAGCAGAGATTGTTTTATTTTCTGCTTCAAGGAAAGGCAGTTGAGGTGTTTGCTTAGATTTAAAACTATACTGCAGGTGTGTCTGCCTGCATGGATGAAGCATTTTGCTTACAGTTCACCCTGAACACAAGACGCAGCTGTTTTCACAGACGAGGTCTGGTACCATTTGCTTTAACCTAGAGATAAGAGGAGCAGAACAGAACAATGCTAGATATTTAAAAAAACTCTCTTCAAAGAGGTGGCACACATTATCACTTGTACTATATTGTGTAGATCTGCACCATTTAAAGTAAATCATTATCAATTTGCTTCAAACCTCTTATGATATCTTATTTACAGGGACTAATAAAACAACATACAGATCATGTGAGATTTTCTGCCACTACTCAGCCCAAACTTCTACAGTATCTCTGATGAATAGTTCCCTGCATCAGTCATAATTGATCCTTTAAAAATTAGTTCAATTTGTTTCATTTAATTTAAAACTAACAGCAAATGAAGTTAATAGAAAAATAACCAGCTGCGTGTACAGACGCATTAAACTCCAGGGCCTTTTTTCTTTTTTTAAAAAAATATTTTTGGATGATTATTTCAGAATGGAGTCCTGTAACTCAGTGGTTAGGGCACTGCCTCGCAAGCGAGAGGTCCTGGGTTTGATTCACTGGCAGGGCGAAACGTTGGGCAAGTTTCCTTTCTTCAAACGCCTCCGTTTACCTAGCAGTAAGTAGGAACTTTAGTTAGTGACATGTCGTCCTTTGGCTGTTGCATTTAGCCCACAAAATATACAGTCAATTCACTTTACAGTGAAGCGCTTTGAGATGTCTTGAAGACATAAGGCACTATATCAAATGCAAGGATTACTATTATTATTTACACAGTTAAATTGTTATTTAGTGTTTAGATACTATTTACTCATTCAAGATGATTATTATTATTAATTAATAATATTTCACATTATGAAGGATATTCGTGTTTAAAAATACATCCACATTTGATATCCGCACTGGGTTAGCTGCTCAGTCATAATCAAGGTGGCAGTAGGACGATCATTAGTGGTCTCAGTAAACCTAGGTTTTCCCTTTCTGACTACTTTACTCTGTAAAAAAAATCACATTTGTAGGCAGTAGTGGAGGAAAGGATAGTTCAAGACCCCTCAGGGGTCACAGAACTGGGGTATTTTATGTCAAAAGCCAACTCACTTAATTAAAATTTTAGAAATCACATGAAGTTGGCTATTCCTTTGAACAAATATGGTTAATGAAATTACTGAATGGATATATTTGTTAGGTCAGAGTATCAAGGAATATGGAGCAAGGGCAGGTAATTGAAGTTGAGATACAAATCAGCCATGATCTTATAAAATGGCGTACAGGCTCGAGGGGCTGAATGGCCCCCTCCTGTTCCTATGTTTCTATGATATCAAGATATATGAACTCAGACAAATAACAGACAAATGCTCAGACAAGCATGCTTGTGCAGTATAGTGCACTATTCCTGTGATTGATGAGCCCTCATGCTGCTGCCAGATGCCATTTTGCAGGCGTTTAAGGTGTAGTATCGATTGCTCAGGGAGCTAGCACAAGACTTAAGTTTTAATGTTACACCAATGTCAATTCATTTTACAGTGTATTCTGTGAAGTGCTGAGACGTCTCGAAGACGTCTCGAAGATGTGATAAGATATATCAAATGCAAGGATTATTATTATTATTACTGCTGCCCCACACTGCATCAAAAACCCACTCTTTCCCATTCAGTTTTTTAAAAAAAATCAGATCAGGCACAACCCTGAACAAGATATTTCATTAAACAAAAACAGAAGTCAATGGGAACACTCAGCAGGTCAGGCAGCATCCATGGAGAAAGGAAAGCGAGTCAAAGTTTCGGGTCCACGATCCTTCGTCAGAACTGGTGTATTTTGTGCTTTGTTTTAAGATATTTCAATACTTGTGCAATCCTCTCCACAAATATCAGGATGTGCACACAAGGGCAGGCATTAACAAGGTTGGAATACATTTTTTTAAAGAAAAATTGATCTACTTATGCGGTAATGTGTGAATTGTCAATCATTTTTAACTGATGAAATGAAATGCCTCTTGTGCAACTATGGAAGGAGATTTTTAGATTTTAAAAACTGCAAATGAATGCTTAAAACTGCTGGAGTTTCATATGCATATTTATGTTACTAGTTTATCTCTGGAGGCAACAAGTAAAACTCACTGTCGTACCAAATGGAAGCAGATTTAGAAAACTTTGAACTCAGCTATCACTTTGAATCCGAGGAGCTATTCATAAGCAATTTACCTAGAAATTTCTTTGGCAGGAACCCTTTCCAAATTGAAATCTTTCTATCCTCACTGAATACAATACATTTGTATAATAAAATGCCCCATATGGAGTCCCGTAGCATATTGGTTAGCTCGCTCGCCTTGTATGCAGCAGGACCTGGGTTTGATTCCTAGGCAGGGCGAAAACTTCGGCAAGTTTCCTTACGCCACACACCTCTGTTTACCTAGCAGTAAGTAGCAAACCAGTTGTTAGTCGATTGGTGGATTGCTTTCTGGGGGTAGTAATGCTGTCAAAAAAACGTTAACAAATAATAAATTGGTCACTCAATCCACAGCAGTTTGTGGGACACTGCTGAGTGCAATTGGCTGCTGCGTTTCTCTCACATAGTGTACAGTTAATTCACTTTACGGTATATTCTGTGAAGAGCTTTGAGACGTCTCAACGACATAAGGCTCTTTATCAAATACAAGGATTATTATTATTAAGAAACTTCCATATTTTACAATTGGAACATTTCAATTCACAAAGCCTCATACACTCAAAAATATGCCTGAAGTAATTAAATTGGCAGATGGAATGATGCTCCATGTTGGGTTATGAAACATTAATAAAAGGAAAAGAAAAGGCATCAATCTATAACTGAATGGATGCTCCAGTGATTCAGGCACAGAGAAGAGTTGCAATATGCCAATGGGCAAAACGTCGTGCTTTTCCATTCTGTAAAGAATTATAACCATTTAAAGTCTGAAATTACAGTGAAATGGAACAAATCATTACATTATGTGCTTGCATAGAGCATCTTTAGAAAACAGATTACAGTGTGAGTCAAAACATAAAGGAGACTCAATATTATATGCAGTACAACCATTCAAACATTTGTCAGTACCGAGGATATTCTATTTACTCTTCCTGGGTAATGCGTTCCATTATTAAGTATATCTGTTATTTCAATATACACTATTTGCACACAGTGTTCAGATGATGTAAAGAAGTTTTGATTATATAGAACGGGTATTACTAAATTGTATGGTAGATTTATAGACTGGCTCCATTGGTAACAAACCAAATTACTGTAGATGCGCGCCCCACATCAGGACTCGAGTTTTATCTGGGTTGGGCATCCCATCGCTGGGGGGAAAATGCTGCATTGATCAGATAATGAATGCATTAACTGCCTTGAGTCATGCTGCTGTTCAAGTCTTAGCACTGAAGAAAGGCGAGTCATTTCCTTCCTTGTTTGCTACCCCAACCCAAAGTGACTAAGAACTTCAAGTTAGGGTTAAATCTATAGCCCATCACATTGAAGTTACTGCTCCAAAATCTGGTACTACCAGATTTTAGGTTCCAACACAGATAACTGCAGAAGTAAAAAGACACCCCAAGGTGGTGCTAAAAATGTCCATCGAGTCATGAAAAATTAAAAAGCCCACAATCTCTCTCTGCTTTCATCTCTTGCAGAGGAAAGCACATCGTTCTAAACTTCACATGCAGCCACTTAATACTATCTGATGAAAATGATCTCCAAATGGATAGTGGTGATCTGGCAACTTAGCTAAAACAGCACTTGATTTAAATTGGAGTTGGAGATGGCACTCCCAAATATTTCCTAGCACATCCAGGAGAACTCAAATTCAGGCGTAGCAAGCATTTCAGCCTCAGAACTTAATGCTCAATGAAGAACTCATTAAGATAGTATTCAATTTGTTAATTCATTATTTTTGCCAGTTCATCCCCCCAGCCCTCACCACACTATATACCATTTGCTGGAATACAGGCATTATTGCTTCCAAGCTGGCTGCCAATGCTGCTCTTTGAACCAGCTGCAAGGTGGTGAGGTAAGCATTCATTAACCTCAGACAGTGCCTCCCTCGCTCCCAGGAAATGGATCCTGTCATGAGTCAAACCTTGCGCTTGTTGACATATCCTTCAGTCACGTGGTGAATGTTACAGATTTCTCTGCATTTTTAATTACAATCAAAAATTGCAATGCCACAGTACGTATAGG